GCTTATATGCCACTGCTACTGCAGTGTCTGATTACCACATGACATGAGGAAAGGTTACGACAGTTTAGAAAAAAGCGGAGACATGATAGATGTGTGCAGAATTATGCATGGCGAATAAAGTGGAGAGAAACACATTTTTCTCCCTTTCCCATAATGCTAGGCCCCAGGTCATCTGACGAAGCAAATTTGGGACAGACAAAAAGAATTATTTCTTCACACAGCACAAAGTTAAACTATGGAATTCTCTTCCACAAGATGTAGTAATGGCCACCAACATTGGCAGCTTTAAAAGGGGATTGGACCGATTTATGGAGAAGAAGTCTACAAAAGGCTGCTAGTGTGGATGGTGATATGCTACCTCCAGATCAGAGGTAGTACGCTATGTATACCAGTTGCTAGTGGGTGCTGTTCCACTCATGTCCTGTTTGTGGGATCTCATGGACAGCTGGTTGGCCATCACATGAATAGAAGGTTGGATTAGATGTATTATTTATTTATTTATTTATTTATTTTTCAATTTATATCCTGCCTTTTTCCTACAAAGGGCTCAAGGCAGCTTACATCATTCTCCTCCTCCATCCTATCCCCACAACAACAACCCTGTGAGGTAGGTTGGGCTGAGAGTCTGTGACTGGCCCAAAGTCACCCAGTTGGCTCCATGGCTGAGCCGGGACTAGAACCCAGATCGTTTGAGTCCCAGTCCCATGCTCTTAACCACTACACCACACTGGCTCTAGATGTATCCCTGCTCCAGCATGGTTTTTACATGAGAACCTGAACAACGTGGGTTGTTCATGGGCTAAACAATTCAAAGTTAACCTAACAATTAATTGTAGGTTAACTTGCAGGTTATTTAACCCACAATTTGCTGATGTTATGTGTGAACTAGGTGAAAGGGTAGCTTTCCCAGAATGCTTCCAGAAGGAAGGATCCCAGTATTCTGTGTAAAAATGCATTGTACAAGTACTCTTATCTTTTCCTCCTTAACTGACATTTTGTGGTAGGCAAAAAGATGGATGAAGTGGTGTGAAATTATGGGATGCTTATGAATGGAAGACAACATTGTTTGGACCATCTGTAAAATTCCGTGTATGAGGAAAGATAAATGATTGCACAATATTGTATGATTGCACAATCAAAGCCTTGTCGGGAAGGAACCTTCACCTTTCCTTTGCAAAAAGGTTTTAAAAGTGTTATTTGAGCACACCTGTATTTCATTGCTACTGCCATCCACCAAGGAATTAAAAGCTAAATGAAGGTAATGTGTCCAAATTTCACAAAATGGTGTGGACACAGAGAAAGGAATTATTTAGCACCATTGGTAATGTCACAGCCACTGTACAAGAGGTGCTTATGACACTCAGGCAAACACATTCCACACAGCACTAAAAATCAGGTCCAAAGATTGTTGTAAGAAGCAGGCTAGTAAAGTGCAGTTCTCCTATGAAACATGCATTGCCAAAGGAAAAAAATGTCTTGGTCTTATGCAATACTGGTGGATTACATACACACAAACTGAGAGAGAAAGATCAGTCAGGACTGAAGGAAGGACGGAAGGAAGGACATTCCAGAGTAAGATGCTACTACATGATTAAACAGATAAATTACTCTGGCTATCAGAGTAGCTTTCTAGCCACATATATAGTGATGATTAATTCTATGCTTCTCAATATGCATTTTCAGTATAGAGTATATGTTATCAGTTAATCATAAGAGAATGTGCACTCTACCTGTCCTGTGGAATAGTCCCTCCAGCCAGATGAGCCACTGTGGGGTAAATATCCATAAGGCTTGTTGGTTCATCAACAATAGAATTAGCTGGGAGCATTCCAGGCCATCTGAATATGCCTGGCACACGGATTCCTCCTTCCCAGCCTCCCATGCCTTTGCCCCCTATACTGGGAACACAAGATAGCTGTGAGTAGTAGCAGAAACAGAAAAGTTCATTAAACCAACTTGTGGTTATACACCTGTGGTTCCCATTATATGTCTGCATCTCCTTCTGGAAAGACAGATAAAAAATTAATTTGGCTTGTCTTCTCAACTCCATTGTTATCCAATGGTCCAACTGCTTCCCAAGATGGTTTCCAAGCTGACTCCCTCTTTCAGCTTCCTTTTCACCAGTTCCCTTATTTTAGGGAAGTTTATTCTTTTGAACTGAAATGTGACTGTATTGGACTTTCTTGGCAAATTTCAGTCTAAATATATATTACATCTGAACGTTCTGTGAACCCTGTTTTTAACTGGTTTGACAACTCCCATATCTCACATTAGGTCCTGGGTGGCACCTTTTAGGATTAACTGTAAGGTTGTCTTAAAAACACAGTAAGAGCTAGATCGGACCAAGGTCCATCTATTCCATCATTCTCCTCACACAGCGGACAACCAGTTGTCCATGGAAGACCTATAAGCAGAACATGAGCACAATCGCTTTTACCTACCCATGTTTCCCAGCAACTGGGGGCAGTTCTGTAACCAATTTCAACCTCCTCCAATAGGCCTTTCCCTGTCTTCCCTACAGTGTTTATAACTAAAGATGCTATCCCACCAAGTGTCCATTATGCCCATTTAAAGTTCTCCTTTAAAACCTGGCATTCCAACTTTCCCATTTAGGCATGGAGGCTTCTAGCATTAGCAGAGGGACACCTATACATGGTACCCTTCCCTGGATTTCTCAGGAACATAAATATTCTGCTATGACTCTTAGGCTTTTTACTGCTGTTATGTTCATCCTCTAGGGATGATGCAACACAAACAGGATGCTTCTCAGCTCCTGTTGGCTTTCTTTCAGGGTTCAGTTTAAATAATTCTCCGACCCATTTTCTACGCTGAACACCAGCATTCTGGTACCTTCTTGTACAGGCCCAGCTTGTCCCAGAATGTTCTTCAAACCTAGCAAACCTGAATCTCTTCTTTCCATACCAACACCTCATCCACACATTGGGACTACCCAGCTTCACCTGTCTAGCTGGTCCTGTGCATCAAAGGCATAGTAATTTAGAATCACCTGAGTGACTTGCAACCTCCTATGTAGCAAGCTGAATTTGGCTTTCAGGACCTCATGACTGTATTTCCCCACATTATTGTACCAACATAGACCATGACCTCTGTCTCTACTGCAGCAATATCTACAAAGCTATCTAGATGATATATGATATCTTTATCCTTTGTGTCAGGCAGGCAACCATGCAGTCTACACACCCATCACAAACTTAGCTATGTCTCTAATGACTGAATCTCCTAGTACTATAAGCTCCTAGGGGGTATCTGTGGAGGTACATCTTTGGTGGAAGACGATATGTGTTCATCTTCCAAGGAATGGGTCATTTTTAAGTGAATTGGGGTGAATCTATGAATCACTCACACTGTTAAATGTTACCATATACAAGGCTTATATAATATATACTGAAGGGTATATTATAAGATGCAACAGCTATAAAATAAGTTTGAGAGTTCTCTAAGGGATTTGCACATTGGGAAGAGTTGATGAAATATATGTAGAGCTTTCATAAATATGATTAGGCACATTCATCTATCAACCTACATTCATCTACATTCATTTTCTGGAATGAAACTCAAAGAAGAAAGAACCTGAGCACTCTAAATAGGCAGATTGACTACCCTACTTACCTTTATAAATTCCATTCCAGCCACCTAGCTGGATTGTTCCTTCTTGAGCTTCAAGCTGTCCCCCATGGTCTGAGGCAAAATAGATGAACGTGTTGTTTCTCAAACCTTCACTGTCAACAGCATCTAGAATCTGACCTAGACATTAAATAATTAGCTGTGAAGATAATGCACTAAATGGTACAGAAGCGATGAAAACACTGCATTTATTTATCAGTCTCCTCTTGTCCCACAAAGCACTATCCCTGCATGTTCGAGAAACTGCTGGAGTAGCATTTGAGATTGGACAGGGGGTTGACACAGCAGGGAAAATCAACAGCAATGCAAGAGTCGCCCTGTAATGAGTACAAGTGCTCTCCGTTCATGCAGATGGTCCACGGGATCCAAGCCAGGGAATTGCTTAAAAAGCCTCTGGGATTTTCAGGACTAAGTCAGCAACTCGACTGTGCTTGGTCCAAGTACAATAGCATATGCTATGTTGCACTGGTTCCTGAAAGTGCTCAACAGAGATCTTTATTTCCTTTTCTTTGATCTTTCTTAGGTTGGATTTATGCTGTACCTGCACAGTGATTTTGAACGGTATTCCTTGTTTATTAGGCATAGATTCAATTATTTTAGAACAAATGATCCAAGTTGCAGAATCAGCAACAGCCAAGCAGGAATCCTTCTCCTCACCTCTCCTTCTCCACCTGGATGGGTCTGTGACTAGCCCATTGCAAAATGAACTGACTGTAGCACTGAGGCAGCCTTCACCTTATGTTCATGTGTTATATTTGATGTGAGTTGCATTTATCTCATGTGTGGCAGTGCTCCACCCTAAATAGGATTAATGCTTAAGACAATCCTCCACAACTAAAATATTGCATTCCACATTCTTATTAAAAAAAAGGTAGCTTAACTTCAGCCAGTCAGTAAAATCTTACTGTCCAAAAGTGAGTGAAGTGTTCAAGAAAGCCACAGAATGGACAACTGGGTTACTGTATTTTAATTGCTTCATAGTCCACACATTGTTTGCTAAGGATTATCTGGCTCTGTCCAGGGGCACGGCAACTGTTTTTTCCCAAGAAAGCCAACTCACCTACCAACCAGTCCATCTCTTCTATGTTGTCTCCATATAGACCATGCCTGCTCCTCCCAAGAAATCTTTCTGTTGTAAACAGGGGCGTGTGGACATGCAGGAAAGAAACGAAGAGGAGGAATGGTCCATGCTTGTTGCTTAAAGGAAACAAAGAGAACAATCGCATTTAGTACATTTCACTGCCTTTGCAGCTTGGCATTTCAAGGAGTATATTGATTACCTGTGGATAAATGAAATTGCTTCCTTTAATAGGAGAGCAGTCGTTCTTTCCAGCTTCATTGGTTGCTCAGTAATGTCGTGGTTGCGCATCAGGATGCAATTCCAGTATTTCACAAAGCCATAGCTGGAGTACCATGAAGCAAAATATAGGAATCCGAACAAAGCAAAGCAGATGGCTGCTTTCCAAGTAATAGAGACCAACCCAGTAATTTTTCCTGTGAGAACTGTAAGTACTGCAAGGGAAATGAGCTGCGTATAAAACCACAGCTTAGCTTGAAAGGCTGCATCAAGCTCTGGAGGCTTGTTGTCCTGGCAGTTGTTGAGAAGAGTGAAAGGCATGCCATAAAAATAATCAAAGCCATGATTTAAAGGATGGTGGCAGTGATCATTGACAGAGTCACAGTTTACACCTTGGTGCCACTTCCCTGGAAATCAAAGCAGAAAAGGAATTGTAACCAGTATCTGGGCTGGATTCCTCCCCACTCCACCCATAACATTTTAAAGAAGCTGTGAGCGTCTTCCTGTCAAGTACCATTGAAATGAATAAGGTTGCACAACCATGGCATTTCATGGCATTATTTGTTTGAATGGGGCCAGTGCTGGACAGTGAAGAAAGCTGATAGAAAGAAAATCGAAGCAATGGAAACATGGTGCTGGAGGAGAACTTTGAGAATATCCTGGACCAACAGAAAGGGCCCTATATCAAATCAAGCCAGAGCTTTCCCTAGAAGCAAAAAGGACAAAACTGAGTCTGTCATACTTTGGACACATCATGAAAAGACAAGACTCACTGGAGAAGACAATCATGTTAGGGAAAGCCAAAGGCAGAGGATGAAAGGGGAGACTAAATATGAGACAGATTGATTCTGTGAAGGAAACCACAGGCTTGAACTTGGAAGAGATGGATGGAGCTGTCACAGTCAGGACATCTTGGAGGGCTGCCACTGATAGGGTCACCATACAGATGACTTGAGGGCATGTAACAAAAACAATGCAGGAGATGCTCTCAGTCCAGTCTTTCCCTATTGTGCTCTTGTGTTTCTAAAGCTACATTATCTGATCACCTGGAATTACAGTGTTATTTAAAGACTGGATTCTACAGCCAGAGAATGGCATCTTATCCATTCAGTTATATCATGGCCAGCAAATGGATTAGAAGTTAATTCACAGATCAATTTCAGGATGAGCATCATGACCTAATCATTTAGTTAGGGCATACTTGTGTGTATTCAGATATAGCAGACTCTTGAGGAAAGCATCTTGCCTTCAGAAAGAATGTAAGAAATAGGCATAGCTCAACTTCTCTCCCAAACCCCCTCATGCTATATAGCATCAATTCCACATTGCAGCAGTAGTACCTATATTTTTTAGTTTAGTTGCAAAGATTTTCACATCATCATTGTCTTGTACCGTGGCCCCAGAATTTTGTTGTTATCCATTTGCACAAAATTGCAGTTATTCATTTGTACAAATTAGTTCCCCAATGGTATCCACATTTTAAAATAATCTAACACTGTGTGCAGATGTGTGTGTGTTGGGGGGCAGTTATGGCTAGACAAACAAAACGATATTCATTAAACTTTTTCCAACTGAAATCTTTAAATATTAAAGCAATTCTGTTTACAGATTCTGCTTGGGACTGAAAGGCAACACACACAAAAGGGGTATGAGACATATGACCTGCACTGTGACCCCTCAGCTATCCTGTGTTCTTTAGGTACATCAGAGGATGCTGTCATCACCAGTGTAGAAATCATATTCAGCTGCCAATCAAGTCAGCTTTTAGACATAGAATTGGGTGGGAAAGGAGGACACTGTATTTTCCTTTCTTGGACTGCTTCATGAGGAAGGAGGCTCTCCGTAGTGAGTAGCATTGCTTGCTGAGTGCTACTTGCTTGCTGCATACACCAGTTGCTGAGGAGCTTGGGCAGGAAGAGGTCCTGCACCCATCCTGCCTGAGGGACTCTGCGGACAGCTGTTTTGCCACCATGTGTATGGAGTGCTGGACTAAATGCAGTTTCGGTCTGATCCAGCTTGGCTTTCCTTGTGTTCCTATGTTGCCTTAGGCAGAAAAGTGAGCCCTGGAAGATGGATATTTAAAGTGGATTGCAGTAATGAATTTCTATTTTACTACAAAGGGTTTAGCAATCAGCAACTTTAAATCCAGTGAAACCAGGTTATTGGAGAACTTCCAATGGACTCTGGTACCACAAACTTTTAAAAAAATATGTAAGAAAAAATATATTGTAGGATCCAAACTCAGCAGTGGCATCTACAAAGTGAGCTTTTACACAGGTTTTGTTATTTTCTGTTGCTGTTCTGTTAATACACAAACTATTTCTCAAAAAGAAGCACTCTGAGAGCCCTAATAGTTGCAAAGAGATTTATACTGCAAGCTTGGAAGGATAAACACCCACCACTCACTACTGTTCTTGCTGCATTTGGACATGTATCTGACAGCAGTCAGCTTTGCTGGATGCTGATTTAGACCTCTAGCTGGCTTATTTGGAACAGAAATGTCAAATCCTTTTTCCTTTAACCAGTGGTGCAATTAAAAGTTACAGCAAAAATGTTCACTGTCGGTGTTATATTCCTGATAGTGGTGCTGTTATATATAGTCCCTTCATTGTCCTGTTTTGTTATAACTGCAAATGATAATGCACAAATACAGTGGCCTGGAAATATCGTATGTGTATGTGGACTGGAAATATTGTATTCCCTTATGCCCAAGGGAATAGTGTGCTAGCCACAATGATTCATATTATATGCAGCGTCACTGAAGCCATACAAATGAACCCCAGATGCATGCCTGACCCTCTTGGATGGTACAGTTCAGTGCTAATGCTAGCTGGTAGACCAGCCTGCCATTAGTTAAGGAATTTGAGCCTTTTAAATAATGCCTTCCATGCAGGACACTTTTGGCTTGTTTCCAGCAAGACCAGTACTCCGAAAGCCCAACATGATTTCATATTGCCAAAGAACAGAAATTGTTTCTATATAAATTGGACTCAAGATGTACTTCTCACTGTCATTAGCTACCAAAGAAGGCCATGTAGTCTTATTTTGAAGGCACTTACCTTAACTGAACTTTTGTGCAGAAGACTTTGCTTATTCATGACATCTGATGTGTTCCTTGGTGCTGACCTTTGTGCTTGTCAGTTGAGCAGGTGGACTTATGAAGGCATTTAGAGGAAGGATCAATGAAGCTGAGACACAGTGAGTTGCCCAAGCCTACTTAGGTCTAAACTACATGTTCCTTGTGTAGTATGGAGTAGAGGATAGCTGGGGGAGGGGGAAGTGTGACTTTGAAGCATGGACTGGGACCACTATGCATGAGCAGGAAGAATTAAACCTTCCTCTCATCAGTTTTCCATCTGGGGGGGGAAGTCAATATTTTATTTATTTATTTACATTTGTGTAGACCGTAACAATAGCCACATGGCTTTCTGGACAGTTCATATAATCTCTGGATAATTTACACAGGAGTGGTTCCTGCCACCTTTTAAAGCATGCCTTCTGCCATTTTACTTTTCTGATTCTGCCAGAATTCAAAGTCAGTCAGTCGTCCCCAGTCTGGTAACCTCCAGATGTGTTAAACTATATCGCCCATCATTTGCCATGGCCATAGTGGTTGGGAACTATGCAAGGTGATCATATGCAAGCAGACTGGGGAAAATAGCCATACATTTGTTGACATGTTCACTGACATATGTATTAGTCTATTATAGACTCAAATGTGTACTACAGGATGGACTGCTCACTGACTATTAACTAAAACTGTACCAGTCCATAGATTATGTCCTTTCTCATGTATCTTCATAATTTTAAGTGTGTGTGTGTGTGTGCACACACACACACTTCTGTTTGGTCATTAAGTGGATAGGCAGTGACACCCATGTTCACAACAGGTTTTGAATGCTATAACCAAAGTTTACCTGACATCTCTCTTCAGTATTAGACTGTTCCACCACCCCTGCAAATATGAATAAACACAATAATGGAGAGATTCTCCCTAACCATTTTTAGATCACCATTCTCAAATTTATCTAGAATGAGGTATAATGGTACCCAATCTGAAGTGAGCAAAATCAAGACAAACTCCAGCATGGGCTCCTCCCACTTTCAACAGGAAGGAAGGCTCTTAACTGGACCAGAACCTTCAGAGATGTCAAAGTTGCCTTTCTTTTGCAAGGTTTCTGATGTGGAAGCACCTGGTAGAGAATCAGCTTTCCATTTCCTGGATCTAATAATTCTTCCAGCTATAAAGAGTTTTTGCATTTGCATTTCAGTAACCATTTATTCTTTGCATTCAGAGACTTCTGATCAAAAGGCAATCAAAGGGTTTCTACATACCTACAAGTCCTGTTGCATAGCCCTGCTGATGCAGTATCTTGGCAAAAGTGGTTTCATTGACAGGGAGACCTCCTGAGCCAGCATTCCACTGCAGAGCCCGATAGGCATTGCTGGAAGCCATACCTACATTGGGAAAACCCACTTGATTCATGTCTCATTCCCGTTCTCATGGATATGCCTTCTTTACCAAGACTTGCAGACAACTCAGCTTTAGAGCTTCTCCCAGGGGATTCTTTTGTACTTATGTGTTCCTTGAATCATGCATGGAATCACCCTTATAATCAAGGGCTTTATACTTGAAGTCAGGGATGTCAGAGAATTCTGCAACAGACTTATAGTTGAAAAGTCAAAATCTAAGAATCCAACCTGCAGATTTTGCAGCATACTAACTTTCCCAATACAACACAGATGCTATGGACTTGTGAACCAGGCCATTTTACTTACCATAACTTGCTGCAAATTTAGTTAGAAAAAAAGATGCCAACCAAAAGCTCTCTTTTCTCTCATGGGTGAAAGCAGGAAAATAGACAGTCTGGGGAATTTCAACTCATTTGTGTATGAACACATTTGTGCAAAATCTTATTCTTTGAATGAGTAGGTGATGGGATGGAGGGTGCCTGATAATCTATGAGACATAGATTTTACAGTGTCTGTACATTCCCATTTGGAATTCCCATATAAACACTTCCATGTGTGTGGATACTATAGTTTCCCAACCTGATTCTTCCCTGATATGTTGTATCACAACGTTCACCATTTTCCAGACAGTCTTGCTATTTGGGGGATGCTGTGAGTTGTAGGCCAACTCATCTAGAGAGCATCAGGTTGGGGAAGACAGATGTACACAATGGGAATGAAAGTATATGTTCTGCACACTGGCGGAGTCTTAGCTCATGGTAAGTTTTGTGTAGGATTTGCATTTTGCTCATTGATCTCAACAGCACTGATGTAACAAAATGCCATTTTTAGGGCTGGAAAATTATTGAGAAAATGTATTAACTTCTGAACATTTTCTCATCTCCATGATGCTTAGGTATTCATGGGAAGGTGGGAACCAGTTATTTATCACTAGATGATGAATACTGTATCATTTTCACTTGTTTAACTAAATGAATATGGATTTTGAGTTATACCACAAAGCATGTAGACAATGGGGTAGATGCAGATGTTGCTATGCTTAGAGGATACCTAGGAAAATTAATACGATCTATGATTAATCAGTTGCAATGCACTTGCTTCATTGATTTCAATAGAAGGTGCATTTGTACACATGTTCTGCTTGTGGGATTCCCAAAGGCAGCTGGTTGGTCACTGTGTGAACAGAACATGGGGCTCAAAGTTCTGTATTCTGGATGTTTGAGGACCTCCTAATTTCACAGTCTGAGAAGACCCAAACCAAGGGATGGACTACATTTGGCTTGATGGGTCATAACTTCTGCAACAGTACAGGGTCACTGATCCACAATATGCTCTAAATAAGGGATGGATGGAAAGTCCTATCTCTAGATGTGGGAGCTTTCAAATCCCAACATTCCTGATTGTCCATACTGACATGGTCTTCTGGAAGTGAAAGCCCCAAACACCTGGAGATCTACCTTCTGCTCATCCCTGCTTTAAGAGTGTAAGAAAAATGAAGTCTTGAGTAAAAACAAGGGTAAAGCAGCAATCCTCATTTTCCAACTCATCTTTGAATGCTCTTGAAGGAAAACAGTCTAGAAGATGAAAGCAAGGGTGTGGGTTAGGAGAATGGCTCCTGATGTCAGAAGGTACTGTTTTCCCTTAAATAACACTGGCGTTACCAGGACTGTCAAGAAAGAGTAGTCATAAAGAGTAGTCATAAAACAGATAACAGTGGTCAGGACAAACATCCCAAGACATAGATAAGAAGTGGCAGAAAACAGGAACTAAGGGACAGAAAGATGATTCGATGGAAGTTCAGTAGGGAAGTGGGGCTGGCGACAACAGGGCTGAAGGAAAAATTAAGTAAGTGTGTAGATGAAAAGATGGGCAGAGGTAAGAGTCCAAAGAGAAGGAAAGAAGCCAGAGTAAAAGTCAGTAGCAGTAAAGGAGATGGAAGCTGGCACTTGGCTACACATTTATTTCCTCCAGGAAGGAGAGAGAATAACTTGAAGCTAGGAGGGAAGGCAAAGTGATAGGTTGCATTTCAATAAGCAGTACTCCTTTATCTGAGGGAAGGCTCCTCAAATTCTCTTTCCTCCTACAAACATCAAAGGGGAGAAAGGTAAGTTCATCCATTGAAGAGGATTAGGACTTTTGAAAGAATTGTTGCCTCTGCACCAATGCCCTACTTCTGGTTCAAATTTTGTAGATGCTTCGCACCCAAGGCATCTAGAGGCAAAGAGATTTGAGGAAGACTGAATTGTTACAATGGCTCCTGATGTCACAAAGGCAGCAGCAAGCCACAAGGATGGGCTATAAGTGGAGGAGGAGTAGGGGAAGGTGGGAAGGAGACTTGTGGGGGGGGGCGCTGGGGTAACAGTGGAATGGGCAAAGGCTCCGAAGAGATGAGGCAAGGTGAAGCAGAAGCCAAGCAGAAAAGGAGAAATGAAACTCACTGACAAAGGAATGTTTCAATAACTCCACAGTAGCACATCTTAACCTCCCACCCCACTCCAAGAAGCAGAACTCAGGGTTACTCGGTGAAGTGGACTGGTAGTAAATTCAAGACAGGTAACAGTTCTGCAAACAGCACACAATTATCTGCTGGAATTTATGGCCATCAAATGTCAAAGCCAGTGGTTTAGATGAGCTTTAAAGGAAGATCAAACAGATGTATAGAGGAGCTGTGGCTCAGCATCCACTTACTATGCTCAAAACATAAGACACTGGTAAAATGTTGTAATGGGCTGGGGGTGCCCTTTCCCCCTTGTACAACCCTTCTTTATTAACATGATTAAGTAACTAAGTGGGATGGTGTAAATTGGTGACCTGCAACAGCAGGGAGTTGGACTCAATGGCCTTCTTGGTCCCTTCCAACTTTACTCTTCTATGATTCTATGAACAGCTACAAGAAACTGAAATGATAATTAACTAAATGCTAAAGTATGCTTTTTTACTTACATTAATTTATCTAGTTTGCAGTGCTTATAAAAGGACTATCATGCTTATGTGATCTAAAAGAAAAAATGCCCTGGAGATTTAGTGTCAGATTCATGCTTACAGCACCACAGCTAAGGAAAGAGTTTATTACCTTCCTATACTGCCCAACAGATAAAGCTCTCTGGACTACTTGGTAAGAATTCCCTTTTAAAATACTGCAGTTAATTGTCAAAATACAATTGGAGAAAGAATGACAAAAAGGGGAAAAAACAAAGAAAAGCAGTAATAAATGAAAAAGAAAATTAATTATATTAATCTAACTAGTCTAATTACATTTTGCCTGCTTAAGTAGAGTTCTGGATTGCAGAGCAGAGTGGGTGGTGTGGAAGACGTTCAGGAGTGACCTGTTACTCTTTGGAAAATCTGGCTCTGATAAAAGCTGCCATTAGCAGAGATTCATCTTGTTTTGTCCACTCCGGTAACAGCCTCCATTTATTATCTCAGTGGTCTAGCCAGAAATTTCCTAGTGGCTGCAATGACATTTCTGATGACTGTACCTTATATCTCAAAGCATTCAGCTTTTTGAAACAAGCTGACCTATTCTAAAAACAGTGTGACTTTTTGGATGTAATTGGAAAACAAAGAAATGAGACGTGGATATTTTGCTTGCCCAGCATGTCCTCAATTTGCCAGCTTATCAGATTGTAGGACCAGTGTTGAGCTAAATCAGAAGAGATGGGTTTGATACACATACTTTTCCATGTGGAACAAAAGGCATGTTTCTCAGCATGCTACAGGTTGTTTATGCACCTATTCATACAAACTAAACCAGGCATGCAAATGTACATTCCAAATAAACCCAACCTGATCTGATGGGGTATCTGCCCGTCAAAAAAGCTGCTCTGCTTGGGGTACACAGTGAGGCTGCCGCGATATGTTGAGTAAGTCTTACTCCTTCTTTTGCTAGTTGGTCAATATTAGGAGTCCTACAGTGGAAATGTGAAATATTAATATGATTAAGTGGAAATTAACATCCACAAGAAGCTGAAACAAAAAATAACAATTATGAAGTAAGCAGCTTTACTCACAATAATTTATTAAGTTTGCAGTACTTATAGGTGGTCTATTATGCATATGTGATTGAAAAGAAAATGTAGCCTTGATAATTAGATACAACAGCTCTACTGACCACTTCTCTTGATTTGGTTGTACTTTCAGAGGTAAAGTAAGGTCAGCTTTAGTAGTTTCAGCACACCTTAGGAAAATCCTGGCAGGTTGGGAAGCAATGTTTTTTCCACCAGTCGCTGAGCACTGAATAGAAAGCAACTCTGTAATCCCTCGAGATATGGTAGGATTTAGGATTTCCCTACATTTATCCTGTAAGAAATACAGGATATTGTCAAACTTCCCTGCTTGCTGAGAAGGAAGTGTGGAGGCAGAGAAAGATGGCCATTTTGGAAGTCTCCTCCACATGTTGGTGGAAGGCCCACTTCTGTTGCTGCTCAGTCACCAGAACTCTAAAGGCAGAGACAGAACAAAAGAGGTGTTCTGGGGGTGTAGCCCTCCCATTCCGCCAACATGTCCTCAGGATAAGGGACAAGCAACATAAGCTCAGCAGCTGGGTTAATTTCTCTTCCACTGAGAGTGAGGGGAGGGAAACATGGGGTGGGGGTGGGGGAGGAGTGACAGAAGTCCCACCACCAAAGGAGAGGAAAAATACCCCTTCCACCTTGTGGTGGGATGGCCATCATGGATTCTCTGTGTACTGGCCTTCTTGGATTGCACTTTAAAATCCACTTTTCATTTCCGTCTGCTCTGTACAAGGTAGGACCTGCATCACAGAAGCCCAAGAATAACTCCAAGGGAATACTCTTATAGTTCTCTAGGCAAGCCATCCTTGGGTATGAACAGATGCCTTCTTTCTGTGCTTGACTGCTGCCCTGCAAAACAGAACTTTCTAAAAACTAAGAACAGTCCAAAGTCTTTGTTCTCATCATGCACAAAATCACATCCTCACTGACTTTAAGGATTAACTCATTGGCCCAAATGACCCAGAGCTGCTTCTTATTTTATCCTACTAAAACATTTAGCCAGCATTAAAACTGTGCAAGGATAATCTGACCCCTTACTTCATAGTGTTGTTACCATAACAGCCAATATCTCCAATCCCAAGATCATCAGCCAACATCAGAATGATATTAGGTTTAACCTCCTGAGCTGCAGTCATTCCACAGGCACTGAGCAAAATAAATAATGTCGGATAGGTAGCTAGAAAGATCCTGCAATCAGAATGAACATAACAGTGATTTATGATAGAATGATGCTGGAAAGACCTAGACCAAACTGAAGATTTAGCAAGTAAGGAATCTGTTCTAATTTGCCAGTGTTAGTTATAATGGACAAACTTGTTTACACAGAAGGAAGTCCTACAATTGCCAGCATTCCTTAGCCATCCTTGTTGACTGGGGAATATTGGGAACTCCAGGGCTTTTATCTGGTGAGATCCCTCCATCTCCTTACACTGAAGGCTAGACATCTCTCCTGTAAGATCTGAAGGACCTTGTGCATCTGACACATGTTCTACCACATCCCTGAGTTTGGCACCAGAATGTCTTCAGAAGGAAACATGCTGTGTGACACAGCCCACTATGTTATGGTGCTATGATTGCACAGGCTCATGGGAGGAATCCAAAAAGGTGCAGCAGACACTCCTCTACCTACCACACACAGAGGGAGGGAAAGGAAAGCTGAAACAGCAAGCGTGGAAGCAGCCAGTGTGACCCCGTTCGCCCGCTTCACATAACTGGAAATGGTGTGTGTGAGCGGTCACCTAAGCCTCTTATCTCTTATGCAGCGGAGAGCCAAGCTCAGAACACCAATCTCGATGTTTCCCACCGCTCCGTTTTTTCGTCTTTTTCCTGTGCACAGAATTGACCCGCCTTATTGCCGTACTCTTTCAGTTTCTCGGCTTCTCAGCTCAGGGCCAAACAGAAACGGGGAAAAAGAAGCATATCTTTCTGTCCGTTTCATCAGAAATCGAACAGTTTGCGTTTGCGGGCTTCTGAACTGCAAAGACCAATCGTTCATATAACTGGAAGTTGTTTTACATAACTTGCGGAAAGAATCAGTGCTAGAACAAACAAACTGCAGGTTTCTTTTGTAAGTTGCAACGTATCTGTATCTTGTTTTTCTAGTACAATCCAATGAATTAAGATACGATTCTTCCCCCCACTTACTTGGGCGTAAGATCTACCAAACACAGTGGAGCTTACTTCTGAGTAGACAGAGATCTATCTCAGCCTTGCCTTAGATGGCTATTCTGAAGGGTAAGGAATCATAAGAGGACACCATGCAGCTAGCAGCAGGCTTCCTTCCCACAAGCAGTAGCTACCCGGGCACATTTCCCTGTAAGGACCGCGTGTATTGACACTGACAGGGAGCGAAGGAGCCACGGCAAAGGAGCCTGTTCCAAGCAAACGGCAGCAAGGGACGCACCTCTGGAAAGCAGCGGAGACGCCCTCCAGGCGCTTCTCCTTCTCTTTGCAGGGCGCGCACTTGGGCTCCATGATCCCGCACTGGAGAGCCAGGGCCCGGGAAGCAAGGAGCCCGGCAAAGTTGCGCAGCTCGCACCGCCCACAACACGACCAATAAAAGTGTGCGGAGAAGTGGCATTCCTCGTGGCAAGGGAAGGAAGGAAAACTCCACACTTCTGAAAGAGCGCAGAATAGATTTGCACGGCTCAGGCGCAGCAGCGAAGCGAAACTTACCGCCCGCGTCCCCGCAGTTCGGGGATTGCTGTTGGAAGATGAGCCGTTGGCTTAGTTTTGGCTATACATGGTAAACTCGCGCGTTACTACTACTCAGCTTATACTTGAAGATGAGAAAAGAAAGGACACGGAAGCTGCAAAAGTTTTATTTTTTAAATTATTTTTAGTTGCTGCATCTAACACTCTAATCTGTTTCCACTGGGACTTAATTTATGAGAAAATGTTGGAAGGCAAATAAATAATAATCTCATAGCAGTGAATTCCCCCTTCTCATGCTGAGCCCTTGAAAAATCCGGTTGCTAGATACCTGGCAATTGCAAATGAAATTGCCTGAACCATCATGTTTTGGAATACCAGGAATCGCACAAAGCAGTCGTGTTATCTAGAAAAGTTGCATTCTATGAAATGTTCTCAGGCGCTTTGCTGTGAAATTGTGCATGGAAGTATGGTTCACTTTCTAAAACAGAAAAAAGCCCCTCTCGCCCGAAAAAAGAAAAAAGGAAAAAAAGGAAAAAGGAAAAAGAAAGGAAGGAAGAAGGTCCCTTCTCCCCCCAAGTCCTGGGGATTCTTTTCCCGCTGTCTCCAAAGATCATCTTCAAAACACACAAAGCTTTACTGATACTTAAACAATCAAAAAAGCATTAACTTTACACTTCTGATAAATGCCAAGAAGAATCCTGAGGGTGGTCTTTTTAGTTTGCACAGTTATATCTTTCTAAGTTGTGCTTGTGGTTTTTCACTGCAAAAAACACCTGACAGCTACCAATAGAATTTGTAAGGTATATTTACAGATTCCAGGTTAGGGAAGGCTGGACCTAGACTGTAATAGGAAAAGAGCCATCTGGGTGTTTGGTTCTTCTTGTATATCGCATGCACATGCCTCTCCATTGTACAGTATTCCCCCCCCCCGCCCATTATACATATGCAATATTTAATTCAAGGGCTCCACTGAGCAGGCTTCTTCTCAGTTTAATGAAGGCATGCTGGCCATTTACCTTAGCTATATAACAACTCAATGAAGATACTGGTAATGCCTAAGGAATGTTGCTTTAATTCCATCATTCTCAATGAATATTATTAAACTTAAAGCAAGTACTCTGACTTAGCAATGTTTATGATTAGTCCTTATCAACAGACTAGTGCTGAAGCTTATCTGTGTAACCCGTACACGCTTATGTACACTTAAGCTGCGCTGAAATCAAGGAAGCTTAAGCACGTCCAACTATCTGCTGCTCTGTGAGTGTTTAAAAGTGGTGGCTACTGATTTCTGGACTTGCAGAGATAATACATGGCCAATGCTGGCCTCACGTTTTTTAGAGGGGCAAAGGTGCTAGGGAAAAGTGGGGCCTCTCCTCTTGCAGGCACTGCTGCCCACTGATTGCCCACTCCTTCTGGGCCCAGTAGAAGCAACTGACCAGAGAAAAAACACTAGGGAAGTGCAGGCAGCTGCTTCATCTCCTCCCTGTGGCATTGCATCCACAATATTTAGCAAATCCAGAAGCCTATTATTGCAGACACAATTAGTTGTGTGACAGGGTTTGTGCAAGGCATGTGGAATTGCCCGAGCAGCCCATTTCCCTTCATTTTGCAAATCTCCTGGCCAGTGGATATAACAATGATGGAAAAAGGCAATAGTGCAATATAATAGCACTTTTTCACTGTTGTCTGTTACATCCATCAGCCACTATTCAGAGGCCTGTAAACTGTAACAATGTGATTGTATCCAGTGGGAAAATGCTTCTGTCTAATTGGATACTGCCCAAGTTTTATTATAGACTTTATTAAATGTGTTTAAATAATTATGTCTCCCGTATTACTTGCTTTATCACACCAGCAGAAAGGGAAAATCCCACAGCATGGCTGCAGCCATGGCTTCCATTGATTATTGGGTGGATCAAGTTGACTGGGAACAGAAGTGAGTGTCTTACGATGCTCCGCCACTGCTCTTTCAACTTGGCTTACAACTGTGTGAAAACGTGGCTCCGAGGTTGCTGACAAAGGGTTGGCTTCAGAAGGGTCACGTGACAGGTCAAAAAGGAGAGGAGGGTTGTGATAAGTCACATTTTTAAAACAGTCACATATTAAATTTGTGTAACAGGCTTCAGTTCCCTTCGGATCAAAGTTTGGTGTCACATAATGAACCTTCCAGACAGCACCACCTCAAATAGAAATAAAATGCAAGATGTAATAATTGATAGATATGTAATTCCCCCAAAACTATTTCAGATTAAAAAGACCTTTAAGTTACTTTATCCTTTTCTGCCAACTCAGCAGAATTGTTGGCTGCTTTGGAAGAGTGCACGATCATGGGATATGTCACTAAGAAAGTGAGAGATTGTGTATATATCTAAATACAGCTTAACTGTACAGCTACAGATATCTATAATAATGCAACTTTGTGATAGGGAATTGGAGAGACTTCATGAATCCTAATAGAAATTACACTGAATTTAGGGCCACACCAACTCATGCAAATGTACAAAGAAAATAGCAAGAACCAGCCTATTTGGGGCTTGTTGGCAGGTGTTCAGCTTTGCAATGGTCTGTTGGGGCTTTGCTGAACAAATTAGTTCGAAATTTCTGCTGGTGTTGGGAAAATACCTTCATACTTTGACCATGTGTTTTAATCATGCATGATATGATAGAGCTAGAAAACTTGTCGCGCTCCAGATGTTGTTGGCCTCACCACCCCTAGCACACTGGTCGGTGGCTGATGGGAGTACTAGTTCATAAATATGTGAAGGATCACGAGCTTCCCAGTCTTGATCTAAGTCTCCTCCCCCATTATACCTTGTTTATGTAATTTACAATAAAAGCTATTTTTGTTATTGTTTTAGACCAGTTGGTGGAACAGCCCTTTATCTTAAAAGACAAGCAGTGGGATAGACTTGGGGTTTGTATAGAAAAGGGTTAATGCAACTAGTAGGGCTGTTGGCTACCAGCCCTAGAAAGCATCCCTTCTATTAGGAAAGTGTCAGGTACATAACACTCAGTGTACAGAAAATAGCTGGATTCTTCCTGGAGGTTGAAACGACTGCATTCTTCTCCCACCTTCTGCAACTGAAAGAAGCAACATTGAACCAGACATTGACCTGGTTCACACAACAAAAAGTCATCATCGGTTATTTTAGGGTTGTGAGAGGCTCCAACAACACATCCTTACTTGGTTTCCACACACTGAGAAGCTACAGTGTGACCCCAGTCATGCTCCTAAATATTGGAAATGGCTACTTCAACAAGAGGTTCCATGGGGAAATTCATCCATGGCGGCTTCTTCTTGCATGTGAACTGGGCCTGTGTATTAAGAGAATACTAGTCTCTGAGTGGACTTCAGTCAAGTTTTGGATTGCAGACAGCCACAGTTGAACTGGCATCCTACGGTATTGTCCAACTCAGCCTGGTGCCTGCCACATGTGCTGGACTATATCTTCCATAATTCCTAGCCAGCAGATCCATTCTTGTAGGGGATGGCAGGCGTGTTACAGTCCAACACATCTGGTTGGCCCCAATCTGGGGAAGCCTAGCCAAGAGATCTGAAGTGGAACATTGGATTTGGGTGTCCCCTGGAGTTTTTAGGTTCCATCTAGGCTCAGTGTGTATTTGTAATGTTTGTGTTTATTTACGAAGTGACACAAAACCTCCAGCCATCTCCTTCCAAAGGAACATAAAACCTAGTTAAGTGCTGTGCCCCTGGAACTTCTCACCACTCAGAGGACTGGAGTGCATATAACAGGACTTTAGATCCCATGCCACCATACTCATTCAGAAGTAAGTCTTACTGAGCTTTAGAGAACAGATTCTAGATTTTGATAGCTCTTTATCCACTTTTCCTTCATTTTATCATATACAAACTTTTCCTGAAACTTTTCATTGCACAATGGAAAATTGGGTGCAAATTTGTTTCATCCCTCTAAAACTGCAGTCCATAACCTGAATGATCAGTTATCACTCTGATTATGATTGCCACAACTTCCACAGGGCCATACTACTTCTTGCTTAAAGGGCAAACTAATCTGCAAAATTCAATTCCACAGAAGTAAAATCACTGGTGTTCAATTAAGGGCAAATGTAAGAGGTACATTTTATTCCGAGGATCCTGCTGGTGAATTGTTAAACCCACAAGTGCAGTAACTATGATAATCAGTCTTATGCATAAACCATTATGAATGAAGAATGGTTTTCTTTTGAAATAGCCAATATTTAATTTGCAGAATACTGTTTCTATGGCATTTCGTAGGATATTTGATTATATTCCACAGAGCATACATTTGATCTTTCCAGATATTGAAGGTGTTTTAAAATCATTGCCTGGTATGTTGGAATACGTGTTTGTGTATAGAAAGCTTGGGTACTGCTGCCCTCTAGTGCATCAAGTCAAAATACACTCACTGATTAGGTTCACACGACATGTTAAACCACTTGGGGGTTATAAACCCAGGTGACTTAGCATGCTGTCTGAACCTGGATCACTTCCTGGGGAGATGTGACTTATGGGTCCAGCTGCTCACCTTCTAAGCTACCCCTTAAAGCCATGGCTTGCGCTAGCATTTGTAAGTGACCCCTAGGCTTGAAGCATTATTTAAACCTTGATGACAATTGAACCCAGGAGTGGCCAGACTCTCTACTGAGCCGCTTGGCAGTAGCAGCAAAAGGACTTGTTGCACTGGCCAAGCAGCTTTTAGTGCCAATGTCAGCTGTCCCCAAGTGCTCAAATGACACTGTCAGAGTTTCCTGTGAGCCCTTTTGGCTGACAGCCTCAATGGTACAGGATGAGCTGTGTTCTGCTTGGCCTCTTCTAGAGGGGGCCAAGCAGACACCCTCTGCCTAGTGCTACCAGCAGGGAAAAGCACATTCTGGTTGGTTTCCTCTAGGACAGGCCCAGTAGAGTGTGGCTCAGCTCCCATCAAGTGACATTACGGAGTGGCTGTGATGCTGGATGTATGGAGCTAGCAGGGAGCCACTGCTACTGGTCTTAGCAGAGGCATCTTAGCAGGCTGCTTCTGCTGATATCAGCAGCAGCTCTGATAGTCCTCACTGTGGCTTGTGAGGTCTACCTGTGAGACAGGGCGAAGCCTGTCAGAGATCCCTTCTTCCCACCCCACTCGCCTTAGTGCTCCTGCTGTGTCCCCTCCAAAACCCTTGGGAGGACTGAAGCTCAAGAGGGAGGAGGGAGGGACCTCTGCTGTGCCTGCTCATTGCTAACACTATGGGGGTCCCAAGCAAAATTTCAGCTCTGAGGTAGCTTATAAGCCCTCCTGGGTTTAAAGTGTCCTCTGAATGTGGCCACGATCTTCAGCTCCAGACTGTAAATAGTGTAGCTTTTGACTTGGAAAGTTTTGTGAAATGTAAATCCTTGCATAAGCTTCTGCCGCAAGCATGTTTACCACTTCATATGATTCACCTCATGTAGGAACAGGGGAAGGCTTGTCAATACAATTTCTTAATTTCATTGACTCATAGTAGGGCATTGCCAAAAATCGTGGTGGGGGGGGGAAGCCCTCAAAAACTTCTTTCATTTCAACTCCTGAAGCAAGAGAAGATACTTCATGCACAAAACTGTTGGTGGAAGATATTTGTGTCATCTGCTTAGAGCCATATTTTCTGGAACAAAGCGATATACTTATTACATCTATGTAAATAACTTACATAATTAGTCTATAATATATCAGATTAGATCCAGACTTAGTCCTACTTAGTCTGGATTTGAGTCTAAAAACTGAGGGCACAGTCTCTAGAGGCTTCTGACCATACAGTGGAGAGTAGGATGAGTGGGGCTGGCAATTTTTCCCTCTTCATTGTCCTGCCCTACATTTCTTTTCTTTTTTGCTAGATGGCCCTTTTTGCCCTTTTAGCAATAGCAGTTAAAAGAGAGGGAAGAAAGCTGAAAAGGCCACAGAACAGCTTGTGCCCTGAACTTTCCTGTACCCTCCCATCCAAACAGAATGACCTCTTTTTCTGCTCTCCGATGCCCCTTTTCTGACCTCAGAGAGAAGCTGGTATGGTGCTCTGCATGCTGGCTCTGAGTGGGTGATGAATCTTCAGCTCCCCTTCTGAGGTCAGATCACTGTTCCCCGTCTCAGAGGGCAGAGTCACTAGTATCCCTCAGCCCATCAGACAGTGTTGAGGGACCATAAGATTGCTCCCTTATTTGTTCTGAATATTTTAGTGGTTCTACTCCAGGTATGATGATGTCTGGTTCTCTTTTTGACAGCTTGATGTTGGTACCCATCGGTATGGCCAAACTGTGGCTCAGATATAATTGCATTACATTTTGGTGCTAAATTAAACACACTGAATAGTCCAGACTTTGTCTCAAGTGTGCTATGTTGCCCATGTAAATTTGCTACTGGGAAACCATGCTGTACTCACTCTCCTTCTGGTACCAACGTGCTGCATGTAAGTGTGATCCACAGTAGTGAAACATGAACTCATGTTCTGAGTGTTGCACTGTTCCCTGCAGCAATGCTCTCTGATTCCTGCCATCAATCACCCTAAAATAAAAGTCAATAAAGTGACTTGAGTTGATAGTTGATTATTAAAGTAACTGCCCACAAGTACAAGGTAAAATCTGCTAAGGCACATTTGGCCAAAACGGTACTCGTCATATTGTTCTGCAATGGCGACTTCTATCAAACTTGGGAACCTTTTTATTATTGGCTAGAGAAACGGGACTTCACATAGATTTAAGTATGTTTTTAAGTTATCATAAATGGAAAAAGAAGGGTGTGGGGGCTGACCCAGCGGGCTTGATGTTTTTGATGATGGATGTTGTTTGTAGGGGTTTTTTGTTTTGTTTTTTAGGATTATAATTTCTCAAATAAAACTTATTTAAAAAAAGAAAAGAAAAACTGATATTGTTCTGGCATGGCAGAGAAAGGCTAAAATCGATGAGAAGGCTATCAGCAGGGTACAGTTAGCTTTGAGGGGGCTCTGGGGGGTATTGGTTTCCCAGGAACCCACGACTACCAGGCTTCCCTCTCATCTGCCACCACATTTTTCTTAGCTAAAATCAATAGTTTAGACCAGTCTCCTGTACCTGTCTTGTGGCACTGATGCCCCAGCCAAGTGAGCCACAGTGGGATAAATATCCATCAGACTTATTGGTTCATCCAGAAGAGTATTAGCAGGAACCATTCCTGGCCATCTAACTATTCCAGGCACACGGATTCCTCCTTCCCAGCCTCCCATGCCTTTTCCTCCTGCCATGGAATTGATGAGAGAAAAGAGAAATCACGATCCTTGAGCTGAAGTTGCCATCCCACAACCTGTCTCCATGTGCAGAACAGCTGTTTACTACATCAGAAGACCACTCTGAATCCCAGTCTGAATAGTGAAAAAAGGTACCAGTGTTGAGAGAGTAAATTTAGTTCTGCATGCACAGACCCTCGCATATGGAGAAGCGTGGCACAAGCAGGCAATCTGCCTTCAAATATGGATCGCTACATAAGATTATAGATGTGAAAGGCAATCTGCACACGAATCTTCACCTGCAATGTACTCTCCTATTGTACTCTTTGTTTCCTTTCACAATTTTGTTCTTCTGAGGCAGCATTTCTGGACAGTGGCCATTGTGATCAGAAAAGACTCCTCTGTCTTTTCAGACATACTGACTTGGTTTGCACAACATGACCGGCAACTGAGACTTAGCTTTTTGTGGTGGTCTGTTGCACTGTGTTGAGTGCCAGTGTTTATCATGCCACGTGACTCTAGAGAGCAAGGGTTGATTGAAGGTCAGACAACCCTCCAATAACTCATGCCTTCACTAGGGTTCTTTGAGTTTTATCCAGGTTTCTGTAAAATGGCAAGCCAGGACATGTGTGATTGGAGGAGCCATTTGTTTGAATTGAATTCTAGCTACTAATGAGCACATTATCAATAAACAGTATCAAAATGCTATAACGCTTCATGTACATTTCTGGGCATCATGATTCTAAGCCTGGTTAATAATATTTTATCAATTCTATTTTACCCTGCTTGGAAAGTTATGCAGCAAATCTACCTGTCTTACCTTTGTATATACCATTCCAGCCACCTAGCTGGACTTTCCCTTGTTTAGCTTCCAAATATCCTCCATGGTCAGATGCAAAATAAGTGAAAGTGTTATTCCTCAAGCCCTCTCTGTCAATAGCAGCAAGGATTTTTCCTGCAGTCATACAAAACCCAAGAGTTCATTTAGTTCATCCACTGGAACCTTAGGACCCTCCCTAAATGCCCCCATCCATCCCATTGCTGCTGCAGCTGCCACCACCACTAATCTGTTGAGGAGGAGGGCATGTGGGTGTAACTTTCCCTGTGAACTACCAGACATTCAGTAGCCCCACAAAAAAACTACCTGAGTGGACAGTCAGGAACTTGATTGCGACGGGAGAGAAGATACATGAGAAAAGTCAGCCCCACATATTTCCCTGCACAATGTCATCCCCAATAACTCACTAAACATATGCTTAAATGATGAAGATGAAGGTGGTGTGTTGTTTTCTCCATTTAAACGGTGCATCTCCATCCCAAGCTGATTGTTACGAGATGTCCAAAGAGCCCTCAGAGCACAGGTAGAAGAGGTTTAAAGCTCTCCCCATCACTATGATGGGTTGTGTATGACTCTGCATGTGTGCCTGTGTGTGTGCACAAAATAAGAACAAGAGAGAGCATGGCTAGGGTCACACAATGGACCTACTTGAGGATCAAGTTTGGGTTGCCATTGAACTGCAAATTGTGTTGTCTAGCTATGCCACCAAATCACAGTTTCTTAACCTGCTCCATTGTTTCTTGTTGGTTTGTGAACAGTGTCATTTTGATTAACAAACTATAATCTCTTAGGACTGCCCAGTCTATGTGATGCTCCATGTTTCAAAGACAACTAGAGTCAGTGTGATGTAGTGGTTAGAGTATTGAACTAGAACTTGGTAGATTTGGGTTCTAGTCCCTCTTCAGGCTGAATTGTACTCACACTTCAGTCACAGACTCTCAGCCTAACCTGACTTACAGTGTTGTTTTTATCAAGACAAATTGGAGAGGAAGCTGCCTTTGGTTCCTTTTAAGAAGAGAGGTGGTGCAAAAATATGATATAGTAACAGCCTATAGTTCAGTGACAGCTCATACTCAACCCTTGAGTGTGAGTTTGTGTTGTCTGAATGTACATGCATGTGCATCTCCATGTCTATATGTTTATATGTGTGTGGTGTGTATATATCAGCAGGGCAAACTTGTGTCCACCATTCAGCCCTGAATGTTGTCCCAGGGCCAAGGAGTTTGCCCACCTTTGGTTAACTAGAACATTTATTTATAAAATTCATATCTGATGATATAAAGAGAACATGTGTTTAAATGTGGTGCTGCTAACACATTCTGTATGATCTGAGCCATTAGTTTGCACGTGAGTCCAGTTTTCAGATGGATGAGCCTTTACTCTCAAGTGTTTGCAAATCAGGTACTAATGAAGCAATGTTGAAAGGTGCTGAGGGAGTTCAAGAATGAGGGAGTTCAAGAATGCAGAAAAATATCCTGATTACTTTGTTCCTTAGATAAATATGCTGATTAAGAATGCTACTTACCCACCATCCAGTCCATCTCCTCTACATTGTCTCCATATAGCCCATGGCTGCTTTTCCCTAGAAATTGCTCTGTAGTGTAACATGGTGTGTGGACATGAAAGAAAGAAACAAAGAGGAGGAACGGTCCTTTTCTGTTTCTGAAAGAAATAACAACTTTTTAATCTCATTAAAGGAGAACCAATGAACCAAGTGGAATTCACAGGTAGGCAGAACTCTGGACCTGATTATCACACAGCCAAAATAGCCACTGAAATCTCTATACCCTATATGTATAGGCAGGGGTAGGGGTAGAGGAATGGGTTTGGGGAAGGTGTGTGTGCATGTGTGTGCGTATGTGTACCCTTCCCACATTATGGAGAAAGTGTAGGGGTGTCCAGTGAAACCTATACAGCACTTCTCCCTTCAATTTTAGTCAAATCAGGCCCCATCTTCTAAAACAATAGCTAAGAGCTATCATAAAAGGAAAGTGGCGCAGACTCTTTGCTCGTAATCTGAGCACTGAATGCATATGGAGGCCAATTCTATGCATATTTCCTTAGCAAGAAGTCATGGGACTTACAAAAGTGCTTATAATTGCAACGTAATGATACAATTTGCAGGCTTACAATTAATAAAAGAATAAAACAAGGGAATGAACTAGGGAATATATAGCTGACTGCTTCTCTAAAACCATCACAGCAAGAACATATATGTACGTCTGCTGCAAGAAATAGGTTAAAACTTAGGGCACTCTCCGTTAGTCTATCTAGTGTGACAGTGTCAGTGTCATATTGATTCTGGTGTGGCATGGTGGGTAAGAGCTGAGCTGTGAAGCATGAAGCCTCCGTCAGGTCAAAGCCACAGACTAATACAATCAAAAGCATAGCAGACAAATAATAATACTTATTAAAAACATTACAAAATATGAACCTTATGAAGGGAAAAGCAAAAATGTGCATTAATGCATTTTAACATGTTTTTCATGTATCACTGCCATATGTTGTACTGTCATTTCCCACATTAATAATTAGTCCCTTGCTACAGGTTTTTATGGTATAATCTTGTACATGTTTAGATAGAAAGGCCCTGCATGCCCCAGCCAGCCATGCTGGGATGCTAGGAATGCCAGGGCTTTCTCCTGTCTAAACAAGCCTAGGATGTTGCTCTTTTCTTGTTAGTCAGGAAACCCTTTCCTTTGCAGCAGTTATGAACTGATTCAAAATATAGGTTCAGCCATGAAATCACAAGATAGCTTTAATATTTGTTTTTATACAAGACAATTTATATCCTTACCTCCCCATCTAAACAAATTGCTCAGTACAATATGAAAATGTTATTGGCACTGCAAAATCTAGAATGTTTGTGACACGCTTTGAACATTTGAAAGACCATGCAAGCACGGATGTGCTTACCAAGATTAGTTCAGGCCCAGTTAGGGAAAAGTTTAGTTTATGCACAGACATCATTCCAGTTCCCTCAGAACTAGTTTTGCAGTAGTTTGTGCCCAGCTAAAGGACAAAAGGAAAAGCTCAAGAGGTTTCTACAGTCATCATTGGTCATACGAACAGTTTGGCTAAAAAGCAGAAAAGCTTCCATAGGTCATACACAGCCTAAGTATTTAAATAAATTCAACTGAATTTAGTGTCTGGAAAGCATCTCCATCACACTGAATTCATGTGCCCATTTGAGATGAAAATCTTGGTAATACATCCTGCCTCATCCTAGGTATTGATGGTGGAATTTCCTAATCAGGTCATAGCTCTCAAAGCTGTAAAGCATAATCACTGAAGGTAGATCATTTAAATAGTTGCCGTTCAATAAATGTGATGGCCTCTCTCACAATCCCTAAAGCAGCATCTTTTAACTTCAATGGTTGTTGAATGATGTCATGATCTCTCAATATCACACAGTTCCAATGTTTTAGAAATAAATAGTGGGCATACATAGAGGTGAAATAAACGATGCCACCCAAAGTAATGAAAACACATATTTTCCATCTCACAGAGAAATATCCAGTAATATTTCCGAGCAGACATATGAACACGAAAAAGGCAAGTGTCTGAGCATAAGAAACGGCTGTTGCTTGATATCCTGGAGCAAGTACAGAATGTTTCCAAGTTGCACAGTCATCAATAAGTGTAAAAGTGCTGCCATAGAAATAGTCAAAGCCATGGTTTAAAGGATGGTGGCAGTGATCGTTACTGGACTCACTGTTCAAACCCAGGTGCCATTTTCCTGAAACGATAAACTTTGATAACATAGGTGTTCTCAACCTGGAAAAGATCTTTACCCTGTTCTTATTAAGCCAATCCAACATGTGTGCTAAAACTTGGCAGTCTTCATCCACAGCAGACAAGAAATAGACTCACAGCAGATCTACTTGGAAGTAAGTCTCATTGAGTTTTAATTGGAAATATGCTCAGGCAAATAAATGTTCCAATAGTTACAGTTCAAAAATAATTATTCACATACTCCACATCTGGTTATAAATACAAATGTAGACAGAAACATAAGGAGCTGAAACAAAGGGAGCTTAAAGAAAAAGAAACGGAAAAGGATACCGATCAACTCACTTTTTTAAAAAAGAAGTCTATTCTTGCCAATACCAGTAAGTGCAGAGAGCAGGATATCATACCTTCTGTGCCTGTAGGGCCTAGAAAAATGGTTGCACACTACACCTATAGTTCTTTGGGGACTTTACTATATATTCTATAATACTATCCTATAGTAAAGTCTCCAGGGAACTACAGGAGACTTTATAGTATAAAATAGGCAAGGAACTCAGTTCCCTCTGTCTTCCCCCGTGGTTAGTGAGAGGTGTGTATGATGCTTATGCTGATGTCAAGCTCCCAATCACCACTCTCTGTTGCTGGAGTGGACCTACTTGGACTGGGAGAGCATGCTGGAAAATTTGAAAGTTGGACCATAAGGAAGGCTGAGTGCTGAAGGATTGAGGCCTTTGAATTGTGGTGCTGGAGGAGACTCCTGCGAGTCCCTTGGACCACAAGGCATTCAAACTGGTCAGTCCTAGAGGAGATCAACCCTGACTGCTCTTTAGAAGGCCAGATACTGAAGATGAAACTCAAATACTTTGGCCACCTAATGAGAAGGAAGGATTCCTTGGAGAAGAGCCTAATGCTGGGAACAATAGATGGCAAAAGAAGAAGGGGACAGCAGAGGATGAGGTGGCTAGATGGAGTCACTGAAGCAGTCAGCATGAGCTTAAGTGGACTCCGGGGGATGGTGGAGGACAGGAAGGCCTGGAGGAATGTTATCCATGGGGTTGCAATGGGTCAGACATGACTTTGTGACTAACAACAACAAGTCCTTTCAAAAACAAGAAGTCTGCAAAGGCTCTGTGGAAAGCATCAGACTCCATTAACTCATTTAACTCTGGGTGCTGACTCTGAAATCTGATTTCTCTAGCTGAAAGTCCTGAGAAGGAGAGTCTAATCATGATGTTCAAACCCTGAAGCCTTGCAGTGACAGCAAAAAGCAAAAAGAAGCACAGGCACATACTGTACCTATTAGGCCAGTGACATAGCCTTGCTGCTTTAGTAACCTTGCAAAGGTTGTTTCATTTGCAGGTAGCCCTCCTGAGCAACCAGCCCGGGTTATGACTCGTAACTTAGTTGTGGCTGCCATGCCTGCAAGGTAAGGGGGACAGAAAATTAGCTGCATTTCCATCTTGGTGAGATGTTCTGGCTGCATTCCCCTCGCATGAGCACTGCCAAGACTGCTGTACTGCCTAGGGTCAACGGAAGCCCTGTGCTGATTGAGGGCATATCAGGAGGCGCACTGGCTTTGTCATGTGAAAGCCGTTCCCCAGGAATTTGCAAGTACCACTTTGGCACAGAAGGTGCGAGGGTCCATGGGGGTCCCATTCCCAGAGTCTGCAACGGAGCTGCTTATCACTGAGACTGGCCCCTGTCCTCTGTGCACCACTGCTGGGCCCTCATCTTCCTTTCTGTATATTTCCAGTCGTCAGATACTAAAGGAAGTGCTCACCTGATCTGATGGGGTATCTGCCGGTCAGGAAAGCTGCTCTGCTTGGAGTACAAAGTGAGGCTGCAGCAATGTGGTGAGTGAGTCTCACACCTTCCTTTGCCAACTGGTCAATATTAGGTGTCCTAAGATGTAAGGGAGAGAAACAAAATAATGCATTGGTATGATTAAGTAACATATTCCAGCATATTTACAGGGAAGCTTTTGTTTCAGCAACAAGAGCAAGAGCAAGAGCAAGAGCTAGAACTAGAGCTAGAGCTAGAGCTAGAGCTAGAGCTAGAACATAAATGTTGCTTCCCAGTTAGGGCTGTAAGCAGTATTAAAAGTGGTGGATCCACATAGTCCTTAACAGAGTGCTTTACTCTCCAGCAATGTATCCATGGCCAAGAGTTGTGCTGATTCAGAAATGTCCCCTTCAAGAAAAAACCCCATTGTGAATTAATAGTCTTCACCTTTTTTGTTGCACCCTGTTCAATGTGACAGCAGTAGTCTGAAAAGTAGTTTTTAAATTGTACCTTAGTTAATCAATGTATGCTTCCTGCGGAGAGCATTTGAAATCTTGTTTTCCCTTCTTCCATTTTCCTTTCCTTTCTAGTGAAATCACAACTTGTCCTGAGGCTACTCGTTAGTAATGATGATGCTACACAACAAAAGGGGCAGGAGGTACATTGCAACCATCTGGTAATGCCATGGTCTGCTTTCTCCATTAAAAAATGATGCACATGGAACTGCTAGTGTGAAGCAGTTGAAGGAAAGTGAACCTTTCTTTAGCAGCTGGACGTGTAAAAATAATAAGAATCATCTGCTATGATATACTAACCAAATAATGACAATGCTTAATATATAATCAACACTAACAATTCCAGGTCTTATGAAGCCATCAGATAATGTTCTGTATTTAAAAATATATGGAGTGACAATTTTAAAAAACACTCCTTTTGACAGGATTATGAGGCTCATGAGGCTTTGTGAATTAATTTTATGTTATGTAATGTCAAGTCATCTCTAACTTAGGAAGACCCTGTGAATGAATGCCCTCAAGGTCTGTCCTCAATAGCCCTTCTCAGCACTTGTAAACATAAGGCTGTGGCTTTCTGTGTGAAATTGAGCCATTGCATATTTGGTTTTCCTCTTCTACCTTCCACTTTCAATAAGTAAATGTAACAATGTAAGCTGGCCACTAGGTGGCAAAGTTGAATAGGGCTACCAAAATATAGTATTAACTGCATGGACGATGACTGGCGTGTCCTTCAATCATCAGCTCCAATTGGTTAACCGAAGTAACTGACTAATTTATCTGTGGCATTTTAAATTTACAAAGACTTGCTTTGTTTTGGACAAAAGTTTCACTGTCCTCTATCGATCCCAACTGTTTTCACAATTTTGGGTATGCTTTTTCATTTTGCAAGGTGGCTTTTTGTGTTCTCTTGAAAGTAATGCTAAAAAAGCAAGAAAAATTGTAATGCAAGAAAAAATGTTGAAAAGAACTTTGTCTATTGTGTTACAATCCTAATTTAAGTTCATGCACAGATTTAATTTCAATGGCTTCTTTGGTTCTCTGCAATGGGATATTTTCCATGGCACCTTTCTTCCTGCCAAGATGCTCTTAGTTTCAATTCACTTTTCCCATTATATTAAATACATAAACTCACATTTCCATTAGGAAACTTTGTCTCTTGAATATAATGATCACCTTGATTTCTCCTTTGAAAGATCAAGGGAATAAACTTAGTTTACACTTACCTAATGGTGTCATTACCAAAGCATCCCAAATCACCATATCCAAGATCATCTGCCATGAGCAGCAAAATGTTGGGTCTTGACACATTCACCCCAAATGCTTGTGGAAATAAGAATGAAACTAGCAAAATAGCTTGCTTGGATCTATATAAATAAGAATAGAATTTTTTGGTGTATTAGAACTTAGTCAAGGTAGATTTTCTTCAGTTATAATAGGAGAAAAAATAAGTTATAATATGTGAATATGTGGCTGTTCTCTCTTGTTTGCCTTCTATGCTGAAGTTTTCTTGGGTATGGCCTAGCTATTCATATACATAGTGGCTTTTTGCATGTCATAGTGGCATTCAGTGGCAATTATCATAGATTAACGTGGGCACTTTAATCCATTAACAACCCAAAGTGTTTGGGCTTGAACATCATGCTAACAACCTTTGAATGGGGTGTACATCAGTTGTTTCTGATGAACTGTAGAAGTGACTCATATACAGCATGTTTTCCTATAGATTGTGGCTTAATTACAGGTTTGTACCAACCTCCATTTTACAAAGGAGAACATCAGTAAGACTTTAATAACCTTTTCCATTTTTGAAGGCCAATTAAGTTCAACACCTGTAACACAAAATATGAATAATTAAAAACAGCCTACTGTAAATCCAATGATTGAAACCTAGGGGAAACTTTTTCTACTTTTGGAAAACTCTAAATATTTCATGCTCATTCAGAGAGAAGAGCTTGCTATCACTAAAAGGCTGTTTCACACTGAGGTGGTTTTATTATTTGTATCATCATACTGAGCAGTAAGGAATTTTAATTATGCATCGGCTGCAGATATGTAGTAAAATGGTAATCTGTATGTGTCAATCAACCTGCTAGGAACAGCAACAACTTTACTCCTTCAAATAACTTATGCTGAGCCAGGAGTTGAGGAGCTGCCAACAGAACTGCCCAGGGAGCTTCACCTACAGGTGTTAATGTAACAACAACAGCAGCAAAAACCACCACTCTGTATACAAAACTGACCCCATCTCCCCTGTGCCACCTCAACTCTTCACTCCAAAGCAATTGTCCTTGAACATTCACAGAGGTAGCACACAAAGACAGCCTGAGATGCAATCAGACAATTATTTTTTCCTTCACTGGAATTCTGGAAAAAATCTTAACATCCTTGACAAGTTGAAAAAAAACCCTTCCTTTTGCTCAGATAAGGAAGTGACTTCACAATTCCATATATCTCTACTAAGAAGTAAGACCCGCTGAATTCTGTGTGACTGGAAGAAGGTCATTGCTCTCACCTGGATATCCTGCCACTAAGGGCCACCACCATTCCATCTATGGGATTGTGTATTTTATGCAATGTTTGTTTGTTTTTGTGGTTGCAAGTGATACCCGGCCACTATAACTCAAGAGGTCCACAAGTGGACCCTTTTCCAGCTGCCTCCAATTCTTCTTGAATGCTTTAAAACTTCTTAGTAGCTTCCACCTTATGGTAGACTCATGGAAGGGGACTTCCCCAAAGGAGAATCCCACATTGAAGGGCTGTGGCCTTTGTTACAAGTTGGGCTAGCTTGCACAACATGCACGTTCCTAACTCAAATGCTTTGGGCTCAGGCTACAGAAGTCCAGCAGCAGCAGCAGCATCTGGTATCACCTAAGATTAGTCGCCATTCAAAAATGGCCATGACTGCATATAGTAACAGCTGAAGCAAGCCCCTTGTCAAATGCTTATCTTACCTGACAGAGTCCTCTGTCGGATCTGTTCAGCATCCCCTGCTGTTAGGAAATGATATAAGTAGTAGTTCCCCCACCACTTCCCTCTTTCTGTCCATCATCAGACTGAAAAATAGATGACCAAATGTGTTGTTGGCTTTATTGACAATATTGCCGTTAAAAATTGACAGGGATCTCTGAACAGCAGTGTGCAAAGTCCAGCCCTGAAATATTTGAGGCCTAAAGTAATCTCAAGTAACTTTTACTTAACCTTTACTTAAGTTCTTACAGCCAGCTACTAAGCTTGAAAGGGAAATTTCAACTTTTCTGAACAGAAGAAAACGGATCATATGTCACAAATGGTTGAAGGATAGAGAAAGTGGAATTCTGAGGAAGCCTGGAGTTGAATTGGCGACCCAGATAGGCTTGATCTGGGTTCCAGGAATCTGGTTTTGCACCCTTGGTACAGGTGGAGGCATAAAGAAATGGAAGTTGTGATCAGTTTCAACCTTTGAATTGTAGTGGTAATGACAGATGGAGGATATTGGATGATCCCCATAACTGTTCCCAGCCACCATCTTGATGGATTGTTTCATCCAAGAGGATGAAGTTTTCCACTTCTGTGTAAATTCTGGAAAAAATGAATGCTTCACTTAGCATGAGAATTAACTCAGTAACAGAGGGTTATTTAACCAGGGTTCTTAGCAGCTTGGAGCAGAAGCAATCATGCAGCATGCACCAGAACTCAGACGCATTTGCAACACTGGCTTACAAACCAACCTTGGTCCTCATTCTGTGAAAAATGGGCCTGTTTGTTAAATGGATGAGGTTTCAGCACATCTGTGGACAGGAGAAGGGGGTGATGAAGGTAACCCAGAACCTAACCTATAACCTGGAGTATTGTGCTCAGTTTTGGGCCAGTCATTACAGAAAGGATATAGCCAGGTTAGAGACAGTGCAGTGTAGGGCCACAAAGTTGGTAGCCGGTTTGCAGGGGATGGAGTATGAGGCGAGACTGAGGGAACTGGGTCTCTTCAGCCTGGAGAAGAGGAGACTCAGAGGGGATATGTTGGTGACATACCGATATGTGAGGGGATGTCACATAGAGGTGGGTAGAGACCTGTCCTCCCCTGCAGAGGAAGGCAGGACACACTCCAATGGAGCAAAGCTCAGGGAGCCAAGGTTCCATTTGGATGCCAGCAAGTACTTCCTGACAGTTAGGACACTGAGGGTGTGGAATGGGCTTCCACGGGAGGTCGTTGAGGCCCCATTGGTGAGCGTGTTCAAAGATAGGCTGGACATGCACATGGTGGGCATGTCGTGAGTGGAGCTGGCTCGAGCCAGGGGTCAGACTAGATGGCCCAGGAGGCCCCTTCTGACTCACTCTGTTTCTATGTTTCTGTCTTACTATTTTTCCTGTTCTCTATTAACATCCTCTTCATGAAAGATAATAAAATGCTGATTTAAAAAAGAAGCACTTGCTCAAGGTCAATGCTTTTATTAGATCTTGGCCAAGAATATTTTGAGGAAGTCTTGAATAATAATAATAATAATAATAATAATAATAATAATAATAATAATACTTTTTTCAGCCCTGAAAACTTGATAATCACCAATGAAGTTTAGTGATATAAATGGATCTGCAATAAAATGACTCAAAGTCTTTCTTGCTTGGCTCAGTGGTCTGTGTGAGTAAGTTCAGTTTCCACACTAAACTCTACCACCATTTTGGGAAAGAATAATATTATCGTATAGACTCAGATTGATCTTTTCACCTTTTCCAGTAGAAAAAATAAGAAAGGTGTGACTTGCTTGTTATCTATCACTGTTATTGGTTTTGTTTTGCCCATGGCTCTGTCATGAAGTGCCCTTAACGTCTGCTGCTTGTTCTAGATATGTATAAAAAGTTACGGTCATTTAGCATCTCAAAACAACAGATTAAATTAGCTTACTTACAACTTCACTTTCAGATCTATTGACTCACAGAACAATTATAGAACAGCACAATTTACCGGACTTCTGTTTCATTACTTATTTCTTTTATTAGGTTTCTTTCTTTTCAGGTCATGAGATAATAATCCCCCACCACCATGCCCCAGACTCCCATTTTACTAGTACTGTGATCCATCCAGCCCAGAGAAGAAATCTTTGTCTATTTTATATGTCATCTTTTTCTTTGTCGCACCAACAGAACGGGAATGTTCCACAGCATGGCTGCAGCCACGGTTTCCACATGATGTTCAGCAAAGAAAGTTGCTGTGGGACAGGAGTGAGCGTCCTGCGGTGCTCCTTCACAGCTTCCTCTATTCTCTTGAGAACCGCGTGGAACTGTGGCTCAGTGTCCGGTGACAGAGCGGTGGCCTCTGATGGGTCTCTTGAGAGGTCAAACAGCAAAGGGGGAACATGATGCATCACACCTTCTCCAGAACACGGGCAAATTCTAATTTCATAACAACCTCCAGATCCCTCTGGCTGAAAAACTGGTGTCATGTAATGGACCTTCCATACTTTTCCACCTGGTGGGAGATAATCCACATGATTAAGATGAATGCAGACTATGCACAATTTCATGAGACAGTAATCCCAGTTGTATAGAACAGCTGTAGCTAAGAAAGCACACAAACTGCATTTTGTCAGACTAGTCATTACACCCTGTGCTTAACAACAGAGGCAGGTCAATCCTGTTAAGCTGCTTGTCTGTTGCAATCCTGTTCTTCTTGCCCCCCACCCCAAATAATGATATGCCACATCTTTGTCATGCTGCAGCTGATATAATGGGAATGACCAAAGGGGAGTTTCCATGTGACTATTCCTACAGCAGCTTTTTCTTTCCTCTTGCTCACTTTCCTTTATTGTGTTGTCTTGGACCGTATTAAGTACTTTATGCCCTCTGTATTTCTTTATAAAGTGAAACTCACTCACTTGAAGGTAGCCAAGGCATTCCAAATCAACTGTTTTTATATACATTTGATATACATTAATAGTTCAGTCTTCCAAAATCACAAGAATGCCAGCTGTTTGGGTGGAGAGTAGGATATATTCCAGATCAGCCCAGAAACAGCTGCCTGGTCTTCAGTCTTTTCCAGAGTACGATTTGCTTCCAGGATTTATACTAGTGATGGCAATGCCTAATTGAAAAAGTACTAAGGTTCTCATGGTGACAGACACTGTGAGAAATATTGTCCCTTCAAGAATAAAATCTGAAGTGACAATAAGGCATAAATCAAATGCAAGAAAAGGGAAACAGAGACAAGATGTGGACATAGCTCAAATGCAGGATGATTTCAAGGGAAGGAGAAATGACTTCAGATCCTGAAGCATCCTCAGCATTATGCATCATGCCAAATGAAACGAATTAATGTCCACTTGGGTTTGGAACAGTACTACCTAGTGACTGTTCCTTCTCCAGTTTGAAGGTAATTGACTGTGACTGGAAACAGTGATACATATGCCCAGCCGCCCCTTGAGATTGGCGGGGGAGGCCCTTCTCCAGGAACCCCCCATGAAAGAAATTAGGAGGGTGGGTACTCGGAGGAGGGCTTTCTCTGTGGTAGCGCCTAAGTTATGGAACGCGCTCCCCAGAGAGGTCCGTCTGGCGCCGTCGTTATTTGTTTTTTGGCGCCAGGCGAAGACCTTTTTATTCAAGCGGCATTTTAACTGTTAACATTATTGGTTTTATCTGGCCAGGGCAGCTTATTTTATACTGTATTGTTGTATTTTAATTTAATATTTATATTTTTAATTTATATTATAATTATTTTAACTTAATGATGTGAGCCGCCCCGAGGCTTCGGCGAATGGGGCGGCATAAAAATGTTTTAATAAATAAATAAATAAATAAATAAATAAATAAATAAAAATACTCTTCATGGCATTGGCATAACATTCTTTTTATGAGCACAGGACACTGTATCTGGGGTTATCTTGTATCCTCTCAACAAACCTGCAAGATGACATCCAGTCACATCCTCTTTATTGCTGACCAAAGACTGGAAGAACTCAACTCCTCTAGTCCAATGCTCTATTCACATCAATCTTCCATAGCTTGGAGCCCTCTAGACATTTTGAACCACACTTCCCAGAATTCCTGAAGATTTCTCATGTTGGCTAGGGCAGAAAGAAGTTGCAGAGAGCACCAGGTTGGGAAGGCTTTTTCACATCATTAGTTTTTATTTATTTTTATTTATGTATTTATTTATTTAAAGTTTTTATATGCCATCCCCTTGCTACATAGCCTCAGGAAGGCTCACAAATAGTTTTGCCCTACTATGATCAAAATCTGGGGCCTACCTGCAGGCGCCACCTCTGAGGAAGGCTTGCTTAGTGGCAACAAGGGGGAGGTCCTCCGCGGTGGCGGACTCCTCTTATGGAACAGGCTCTTCACTGAGGTCCACCTAGCTGATGCCATTTCTACTATCCTTCTGGTACCACATTAAAGTTGTCCTCTATAGTGGGCCTTCAATCTACTCTAAATAATGTATGCCAGCTGTTTGTCAGATCTTGTGATCTAATTAGCATCAGCTAATGTAGCTGCTAAATTCAATTTTTAAGTAGGCTTTTCAGTTTTATGATGATTTCCTGTTATTTTTATACTGCATCTTTATTGTATTTTATGTTCTACTGTAAACTTCCCAGAAAGCATCAGCTGCAGGGCAGTATACAAATAAAATAAAGTACCTAAATGAATAATACCTTCCGGAAATAGAAATTTGGCCAGCAGAAGCCTTTGTTTTGTGAAACATTTTACCATAAATTGTATAGATTTCTGTTTTGGGGAAGCCCTCCTACTTACTGTCCTTCTGGTGCCATCGTGCCGCGTGCATATACGTTTCACAGTAGTGAAACAAGAATTCATGCTCTGAGTGTTGAACTGATCCCTGCAGCAAAGGCATTAAATCCGAACCATCAATTATCCTGAGGGGACAAAATAAATGAGAATCAGTTCATTCTGAGAGAAATGTATTTGGTTTCGTTCTGCATACAACATGCTGTAACAACAGACAAACAGCTAAGCATTGGTAACATGCTGCATGGAAGCAGTTAACAGCTGCTATGCTATGTCTAAAGCAAAATGGTTTAGTATTATTTTTGCATTTTAAGGGTGCAATTCTATGTGAGTTTAGACGGAACAGGGGCATCCAACTCCCAATATGTTCCAGATACCATAGGCCTTTTCTCTCTCTCTAAACTTGCTCAGGATTATCTTTTAAGTCAATGTAGGACTCCTTGGGGGCTAGAAAAGTGTGTGTGGTTGTGTGTGTGTGTAAAGAAAAAAACAGAGATGTGGATGTTCTTCTAAGATACACCTGTCAATATGATTTTCTAAATCCAAGTCCTTGCAAGTTTTCATATACCCATACAAATCCCCAATGCTAGGACTTTCCGAATCCATTTCTGCATTTATAAAAACAATCTCGGTGTAACTTCCATGGAAGTTAATGGAAACAAGCTTGGTCTTTGCATGTTTATTGAAGCACACATGGAATTTCTGATCAGGGAGTTTTCAACTTTACTTAAAATTTTAATTTTCTTGGAAATTGGAGTGAAGTAAATAGTGTCCAGATCACAAATTTTGCAAAGCCATCCTATGTTCATGCACTTAATTCTGCATAGCTCGCAGTGGCCAAGGAAAAATTGTATGTAGGATGTGTGCATGAGTGGAGACAATTATTTTCAATTTTCCCCTCTAGCTGACATCAGGTACAGGGAAAAATTAAAAGGTGAGTTCCAGGTTGGCACTTCTGCAGGTAGCATGTTTTGAATCTGAGAGGCATTTGCTCCTGTGGACTGAAGATCTTCCCACAAGGATGCCCAGCGCACTGGGCTTACATCAGTTTCTCAGGTCCCATAGATGCTACTTATCTAGCAGTGTGGCACTTCAGTAACACCTTTCAGGTCAACAGATTCCAGTTGGTGGGCTCTAAGATTACAGCATCAATCAAAAAATAGAAATCATCATATTTAAGCCTTTGCTGAACATAAAATGCATTCCTGCCTTGGGTATGTTTAGTAAGAACTATGGGGCTTACGTAGCGTTGCAATCAAAAAATGTGATTTCCATGTATGATTAAAATGCAAATATTTCACTTAAGGCAGTGGAATTCTTGTGTATAAGGAAAATTTTAATGCAAGATGTATTTAATGAAAACATCATGTTGGACTGGTTTGCACAGTATGTCAGGATCACTGTAGGGTGCAAGGGACATTCAAGCACTACTATGAATAGAGAATTGTGGTGTTTCATCCAAACTTGGCCAGCTTGGGTCATTCAAGAGTTAACAACCCTCATATAATCCTACTACAGACTCTGAACTCACCAGGAGTTGTTTAAATATCAAATAACCCATGGTGGCTGGGTTCATACAATATACTACAACTCCATTGAGTGTTGTATATTTAAAATGCTGGCTGCATATGTCTGGCACATGCTGTGACGCATTGTGTGTTAAACAGCTCAGGGTGGTTTTCACATGTTGTGTGAACCAGATCACTGTGATTTCTACACTAGAATTGCAAGCAGCACACATGCATTATGTGGCATCACACACTTCTATACATTTCAATTATGACTTAATCATATTTCCTATAGATGCACCAGATCCACACAGAATTACTTTTCTGCAAGTAATCTTGCTGTTTTCCTCAAAAATCAGTCAGTGGTAATGTCCTATTTTGGATGAAGCTTTAGCAAGAAGAATACTGAAAGGACTCTAGTGACAACTTAGTCAAAATGTTTAAGGCAATTCAAGGATTATTTCACACTGTCTCCATTTCTACATCTGTTTTTTGTTTTCGTTTCTTTTCCTAAAGCAGATTTCTTCCTGAAAGACTGCTGTATCATTCTACCAGTGAACCATTTCATCTGCAACCTTAACACTGAAAGGAAGCCTACTCAGAGGAGAGAAACATGTATATGCATGTTTTTAAGAAATTATGTACTGCTCTTCAGCATTATACTTAGATATGGCTGCCCAGGTTCTCTGTTCATGAATGTAGGATGGTTCCAGATTCTAGAAGCACCTCTGCACCTGTTGTATAGCAAAATAGAAATTGGAGATTTGGAAGGACATTGGGATGCCATTTTGAAGTGTTGTAGATTCTAATCTTGCTTAGGTAATCAGGAAAAGTTAGGCATTCTTATAGGCCAAAATCAGAGCAGGTCTACGCCGTCAAATTGTTGAGATATCAAGAATAGGAAAGAGTCTAGCTCCATAACATCCATACCTGTCCTGTGGTATTGTTCCACCAGCCAGGTGAACCAACGTGGGGTATATGTCTATCAGGCTTGTCGGTTCATCAATAACCTTGCCCTCAGGTAACATTCCTGTCCATCTAATTATTCCAGGGACACGGATTCCTCCTTCCCAGCCTGCCATGGTTTTTCCACCTAGAGTTGTCACACAATGCCAGTTTTCATCTCAAAAATCTGTTATGTCCAAAAACAGCTTCATATATTTTAAAAAGAATAGTTCTCCCTTTTCATTTAAACACAAACCCTTTTCATTGAAACACATTTTCTTTTGGCATCCTAACATTTCAGTTTTAGCATGGATATATTGAACTATATTACACTAAATGTTATATATTATACTAGTTATTTGTATATCACCTTGAACATTAATCAAATGTAGGGACAATCCAAATATATTTGAACTATTCACTCTGTTAACAATGAACCTCTAAAATTTTGTATCTCTTCCAACATACAGTAAGTTCTCTTACTGTTTTGCGCCATAAATTCTGCATTTTGTGCCACCACAAGAAGTGCGTAAATCACATACCCTCTTATTTATTTATTTATTTATTTATTTATTTATTTATTTATTTATTTAAAGCTTTTATATACCATCCAACTACTAGCATCTCAGGATGGCCAACTACTAACATATAGGGTATGATGACTGATGAAATTCTCATATCACCTTCAAACTTGTGTGTTAGTTTTGTACCGCTCTGTGGCACAAATCCCAAGTTTTGTGCCACTATGGAAATGAGGTACCCCAAGGGTAAGTGACATAGTCATGAAACAACGGCAGTTTAACAAATCATGGGGAAATAAAATGGGGTTTCTTCTAGCACTGAAAGGATGTCTACATGAGTGCCAGGGAAGCCCTCCTGGGGAAATGAATTCACCATCAATGACAGGGGGACTTCCAGAGGCATGGCAACCCGGTCATGTTGGAGTACGTCAGCCTTCACCAAGCTGGCACTCCAATGCTGTTTGACTGAAACTCCCAGCATTCCAAATATCCCCAGTGGGAGTTGTAGTCCAACACACCTGGAGGGCACTGGGTTGGAGGAGGCAGGAATAGGTGATCTTTCAGGTAGCCAGGCCCCACGCCATGTAGGGATTTCTAAGATGGATTCTAGGCTGTACCTGGAAATGGACTGGTAGCCAATGCAGTTGCTTGTGCACTTATGTTCCCATTGCCCAGTGCCAGGTAATAATCTCACAGCTACATGTTGTTTGAACTGAAGTCAACCAACTTCTTTGGGAGCCTTCCTTGAAGGAGATTAGGAAGGTGGCTACCCAGAGAAGGGCCTTCTCTCTGGTGGTGCCCTGGTTATGGCATGCACTCCCTAGAGAGGTTTGCGTGGCACCAACACTTTATTCGTTTCAGCGCCAGGCTAAGCCCTTTTTATTTTCCCATTATTTTAATGTTTGATTAGATTTCAATATAGGTTTTATTTTATGGGAATTTGTTTGGATGCTGTGCTTCATTTTGCTGTATGCAAAGAGACTGTCAAGAGACGCTTGAATAGTTGGACAGTGTATAAAAGCTTTAAATGAATAAATGAAGAGCAGCCAGGAAGGGATGATTTTAAAGAGGCTGGTTCAAACACACTTGTTTAAGCATGTAAGCAATGTCATGTGTAGATTGGCCCTGAAAAAGATCTAATAAGTTGAGTTGAATGTTCATGAGATGACCTTGCTCAGCAGATTATAATAATACAATAATAATATAGATGGTACAAAACTTGAAGGACAAGATGGAACTCTGCAGGACCTCAGTACATAAGTGACATGTGTTTGAACAGTAGATCTCCAGCACTTCCTTTTAGAATTGGCCCTTCAGTTAGAAATGTAACCTCTGGAACACAGTGTCTCTAGTCTCCAACCAGACAGACTATCCAGAAGTCAACCAGGGTCAGAGATATGAAAAGCTGTTGAGACATCTAGAAGAATTAACAATTGCATTTCTTCATTTTCTTTCATTTTGGTTCTCCTTCCTTGAAGTATGAGCTTGAAAATTACTTGCAAATTGTGGAGGATTAAGGTCCCCCCCCCCCATGTTCTCTTTTTAAGCTAAGCATGCATTGGTGGATTTGTACTCTTTTCTTCATTTTTCTTTTTCTTCTTTTTCTTATTTTTGATATCTGAAGTATTGAAATAACACTCTAAGGTGAGTGCTGTCAAATACAGCAGACTCAGGGTCACTTAGGAAACAAGTGAATGGATTCAGAATTCTCACCTTTGTATATACCATTTGAACCTCCCTTTTGAATGTTTCCTTCCAGAGCCTCTAAATGTCCACCATGGTCAGAAGTGAAATAAGTCAGTGTGTTCTTTTGTAGGTTTTTAGAATCAAGTGCATCCAAAATTTTCCCTGCAATTCAGAAGTGTCATGTATATGTTGTTAAGATGTGAGACTTAACACATCCTCTTCCATCTCATGTAACATTTTCTGGTGGCATCCTGAGTCATTTTAGGCATGTGAACAATATCATGCCATTGCATGTAGCCACATAATTTGAATTCAGATTGAGATCATCTTAAAAAAACAAAAGCAGACAGAAAACCTTTCCAAAGATTTCAGTGATATTCCAAGAAATGCAGAGCAATGACATAAAATCCACTGCAATAGATAGCAATGTTCTTAAGATTATTGATATTGCCTTTCTTTATGCTTATATAGCAGAATATTAATGTTGTTTGTGCCGTCTAAACTGCAAGCCATTTAGTAAAATACACTGGTGCTTTAGGGGCATGATCCTCCTGATAGTGCCCTCACTTCTTGGAAGCTTCTGAGCTAGGAGCCTTTTGAGATTCCTTTGCCTGCTGGGCAGAAACAAAGCAGGAAAGGAGTGGATTTTTGCCTGCCCATGCACTGACTTTTACTAGATGGGTTATTCAGAGGAGGGAAGGAGGATGTATATTTCTCCCCCATAGTCTTCTCCCTTTCCTTCCCTCCAACATGTCCCCTTCTCCTTCTCTGAGATTTTGTTCTTCTCCCTTTCCCTGATTCACCAACAGCCCAATCCTAGTGGCATTTGCCTGGGTTTACACACTTTTTCTCATGTGATTGTAGTCCAGATCCAATTGAAATAAATGGAGGCATCTGAGTTACGCAGTCATGGAAAGTTTCATATTTGATCCAGACATTTTGGATACACCAACTCCCTAATGTAATGAGGTCCCATGATGGAGCTGCCTTCCCAAGCCCTTCAAATGTGTGAATCAACCAGGAGGAAGTAGCCAGAAATAAAGGCCTGACTTGGGCCTATTCTACATGTCAACATTTTAAAACAGTATCTAAGATTTCATAGTGTGTTAATAATAAACTTGTTTGTTGAGATCTACTTACCGATCATCCAGTCCATCTCTTCCACATTGTCCCCATACAATCCATGCATGCTCGTCCCAATGAATTTTTTAGTGGTAACCAGTGGTGTGTGAACATGCAAGAAAGAAACAAAGAGGAGGAATGGCCCTTGCTTGTTTCTAAAACAAACAAGAAGTGCCATTTATAAGTTTCCAGAACAAAATTAAATTGTTCATACCTAATTTTCTAGTATTTTAATCACTGTGAAAACTCTGTCCTGATAATAGGTGATTCATAGATTATTCAGCCCCCACACTTGTGTACTAATAGCACCAAAACCCAACACGTCTCTCTCATTTCCAGAATGCTTCATGATAATTGTCCTTCATGGGCAAGAGACAAATTCATCTCCAATACTTGGAACTGTCACCCCAAGGGATTAAGCAATTGACCAAGAAGTGCTTTCCTCTGAAGCCATAAAATTCTAGATCCTTAATATGCAACATTGCCCCAAGAATTCAAAGCCTGGACAGGCATGATAGCCATTTTGCATCAAAACCAGAAGAAATTAATAAAGCCCGTCTTGTTTCTGTATCTATATGCAATGATGTATCTTCTTAAAAAATAATCAATTGCAACTTAATTTCCTCTAGCACATTCATGGCCCCAAATAATTCATACTTCACCTTTCAATAAAGGAAATGGCCTCATTCAGCATATGAGGTGCAGCTCTCTCTAGCTTCATTGGTTGTTCTGTAATGTCATAGTTTCTCATCATAAAACAATTCCAGTATCTTATGTATCCATAGATTGAGAACCAGGAAATGAAGAACAAGAAGCCAAACAAAGCTAGCAAGAAAATTGTTTTCCAGCTGATAGGCACCAGATGAGAAAGTTTTGCAGCTACAAGAGTAAGTACAGCAAGGGCAATCATTTGAGTGTAAGACCAGAGATTCAGCTGCACTTGAGCTTCCATCTCTGGAGGGTGTGATTTTTGACAGTCACCCACTAATGAAAATGGCATTCCATAAAAATAATCAAATCCATGATTTAATGGATGATGACAGCTGTCATTACGGTATATGCAATTCACACCAAGATGCCACTTCCCTGAAAAACAGAATGGAATATGTGATAATCTTGTCAAGGGTGATAATACTGGGTACAAGGGTGGTTTACTAGCAAAGGTTTCAAAATTTTCCAACTCATTTTAAATGTAAAATGAACCCCCTCCCCAGGAGAAGGTACACATGTTCAAATGACCCTCTATATAGTGCTTTATCATAGTGTTTACATCATCTTTTCAAAATTTATAGGCTGCTTTTGCCAAAGTAGTACACAGTTATAATTAAAGAACAGTAGACATCAATACAACAAACTAATGATAGTCAAACTAAGTAAAAAAACCCCACACCACTTAGTGGTAAAAAACACTGACCCATGGTTTATTTAATTCATGCTCAGGGTTCGTCTGGCAGAAGATCAAACTGACGGTGGTTTGTTTTCTCAAGTCCTGAGTTAATTGTTTCCTTCTTGTTTTGCCCACTCCCACCCAGTATTCTAAATGCCTTTGCAGTGGCATAGAACTGGCACGGCAAGTTGCTGGGCTTTTTGTTCATTGCTTCAATACTAGGATTCTGTCAGCAGTCTGGCTACAGCACATTGCAGCAGCTGCACTTTTCAAACACTTCCCAAAAGTAGCTGTATATTATTCAGCCATATGACCATGAAGTTATGAAAGTTTTTCTGTCTGTACACTTGCAACTTTCACGCATAGTCAAAGTTAGTGAAGCTGGGTGATATCTACAAGGATTACAAGTTGCCCATGCTTCCCTGCTAGGGCTGAAGAAAAATGGCTGCAACTCATTCACCGATCCCATTTGCAGTCGGTGAATTGGGGCACAGTTGTGCTGCTATTATTTGGGGACTGCAATTCAGACCTCGGAATGCTTTCAGGAGGAAGGCTACATTACCATGGATGCAGCCATGGCGTCATTCATTTAAACCTTCATCTTCACAGGTTAAGTGTGACTACAATTATGTTAAATTTCCTCCTCTCCCTAAACATCACAAACCAGGTATGGGTCTACTCTAGGGGCCATATTTGTATCCTGGAGCCCTGTAGTCTGTATCCCCCATAGGCATTAAAAGATATTTTTAAGAAATGGCGTCCATGGTGCCAGAGCACTCAAAGAATCAAAAGTAGCTTGTTCATTTAAATCAATCAGTCAATAATTTCTAAGGACAATGTAGGTCATGCATTATTCCAAATCCCTCCAAATGGGCAAAGGGGCCTCACATGTCCTACCTTCTGACATTAAGGATGCAATGGTGTCAATCTTTATAGGTTATCCTTATCTGGCTGGTTTGAATAACTACAACCTTCTACCATATCTGCCCTTCTGGGGAAAGGTTTTGGGGAATTCAAGAACAGATAAGTTCCTTTCTGATTCAGTGCTGTTTCTTATAACAGCCAACCTAATGGCTATGGGAAGCCCACAGGCAGAACATAAGGGCTTGGTGGGATCTCAACTCCAAGTCATTGTAGATGCTGCTGATTATGATCCATTCTAGTCTGGTATTCATCCAAATGTCAACATTGAAACCAGCTCACTTGACAAATGCTGTTTCAGGAGACCAGAGGGAGAGGAAGACTCCTCAAGCAGCATCCAATAGAATCAGCCATAGTATATTTCTGGGTGTATTTATTTTTATTTATTTCATTCCCCTTCTATGCTGCCCCATAACCTGAAGGTCCTCTGGGCAGCTAGTTTACTGGGTCAGGTTTAACTTGGAGTTACTATGCTATAGTGGCACTGGTCCTTCCCACAGGGGAATGCCTTGAAGGTAGTGCTGGGGGACTACTGCTTTACCCCATTTCTTTTGGTTTGTGGGGTGTTAATGTTCCAGTTTGGTCCCCCAAGGTTTGGATCGAAGTATCATCAGTAAGACTGGAATCAGGGCCTGTGCTGTCTGGCCCATCATTAGTTAAGATCAGGATAGGTATAAAACTCAGTCCTTGGTGAACTTTCACATTTCTAATATTTAGATGGCTAATTTGTTTGTTTGCTTTATTATTATTTGGTCTCCAAGATTTGTAAAATGCCTTGGAATAGTTTAAAGGCAGATCAAACAGTTTAAAGGCAAATTAAAAATGTCCAAAAATAAATCATAAATATTGCAGCATCTTATGTTTCCAAAATGACTTTTATTTCGAGTCTACAACTTCACTGACTACCAGTTGTGACCGGGGCCCAATTCAATGTGCATATAAAGCCCTAAATCACGTGGGACCCAGTTATTTAAAGGAGTGTCTGCACCCATATATGCCCACCCGCCCCCTGAGATCAGCTCAGGAGGCCCTTCAGCGAGAGCCACCCCCCAGGGAGATGAGAGGGGTGGCAACTAGGCAAAGGGCCTTTTCCACTGCTGCTCCCCATCTTTGGAACTCCCTCCCTAGGGAAAATCACCTGGCGCTGTCTTGATTTTCTTTTTGGCACTGAACGAAGACCAGATTTTTTTTAACAGTCTGACTGCTGTGACCCTTTTTCTATTGCTTTCACAGGTGTTTTAATTCATTGTGCTTTAATTGGTTTTATTTTGTTAATGTGTTTTTTGTATTGTAATCCACCTAGGAGAGCCTTAGCAGTTATAGGCAGCCAATAAACACACACACACACACACACACACCACAAACTTTATTCAGTCTCTGTAAAACAATATCCAGCTCTGAAACATAATAATATGGGGCTTAACTGCTTGGCCAACAATGAAACCAAACACTTAATTAGAATCATACTTTTTTGGGCTGGAGCTGAATGAATATTTCTTGAGATAGAACAATAGCATGTTTATCTTTTAAAAAAACAAAACAGCTTTTAATTAATGTTTCTATTAAAATCTATTCTTATACATGGAAGCATTAATTAAAAGCTGTTTGGTAAGGAGCATATTTCTGATGATTATTGTGAAATGTAGCAAGGTGTGCTCAGTTCTAGATGATCGAGATGTTTCAGTGATGGTGCACTCCCTTTCACTCAGGTGCTACAGTGTGAGTCTTCCTACCTATTAAACCAGTAGTGTAGCCTTGCTTCTGCAATATCTTGGCGAAAGTAGTCTCATTTGGAGGAAGGCCACCTGAACCAGCAAGCCAGTGAAGAACGCGGAAATCTGCTTCATTCATACCTGAGATTTAAAGTATACAGATAACAGCCAGTGGTGTGTCTGTGAACTTTGGTAGGTCAGTCAACTGAGTTCTAATGAGAGGCCACAATTTTTGTAACCCTCCCCCCACCCAAGTCAACAGATACTGAATGAAATTGCTGGGCTACATAGCACTGGACCTACATAGTGATAGCACCTAAGACAGTGATGGCGAACAGAAACCGAGTGCCCAAACTGCAACCCAAAACCCACTTATTTATTGCAAAGTGCCAACACTGCAGATTCAAATATGCCGGGGGACAGCACAACTTTAAAAGAATCTCAGTCTCTTAATTAGAACGTCTCTTTGCTAAATCTTAGATATTAAATTTCAGTTTTTCATAAGAAAACTCACAGCTAAAATCTTGTGTTAATAAAAATGAATGTATCACAGCCAGTCCAAGCAAATATATATATATATATCCTTGGCAGTGCACTGATTGGCCATGTGAAAGCTCAGACAAGCTGTAGCTAATGAGTCACGGCTTGTGATATCATCACCTGGCACCGCTACTCCCTTCCGAGCATGTACATGGCCCCTGTGTGCGCTGTTATCTGATGCTCGGCTGCGAGGGTGATGCTGGGGCGACTTGGCTCATGTGCCGACAGAGAGGGCTCTGTGTGCCTGCTGTGGCACACGTGCCATAGGTTTGCCACCACTGATCTAAGATGAGAAACTTTAAATGCTGCTGTCTCACATTACTTGCAACATTTTTAGTAGTTTCAAGTCAGGACTGGCTCAGGACATTTTGCTGCCTGTGGAGAAAGACAAGGTGGCACTTTCTACCCAGTATTCATGCAGGAGCTGACTGGACTGGCAGCTGAGTCTTGCTTTGACACTGACAATGTGGTCTGAGACAAATGGCTGACTGAAAGGGCCCCGGACAAGTTGTGTGGCATTAGAGCTCTTTCCCCTAAAAGAAAGGAACAGCCAGAGAGTTCATGTGGAAGAGCTGGGCAGCTTCCACTGCTATTCCACCCATTATCTGCCACCAGATAGCAGAGCTGGTCCTGTTTCAAGTAGGCGTCTAATCCAACCCTAAACCTGCCAGATGATATCCAATGGAACTGTGTCTAAAGACAAAAGTAAAGACCACATTGTGCCATTCCACAAGGTAGCAAACCTGATCGGATTGGGTATCTTCCAGTTAAGAAAGCAGCTCTACTTGGGGTGCAAACAGAAGCTGCAGCAATGTGCTGAGTGAGCTTCACACCTTCCTTTGCAAGCCGATCAATATTAGGAGTCCTGGTGCAGGGAGGGAAAAAAGCATTAGCACAACTTGTTTGAGCTTGGTGTTAGAAACAAACGGGGGTTTTCTAATGAGCTTTGAAAGCTGGCCAAACTTTTTGCATTAGTCAGACTTAGCGGAGTGTGTGCAAAGGAAGGATGGCCGACAGCAATTTGAAACATGTAGTGAGAAGTGGCTGCCCCTTGCTTATTTCATGAAAGAAACAAATAGTTTAGACCTGAACGTCTATACGGTTCCAATGGATTGTATCTAATGATATTACTTAGAGCTACACTAAACCTTCTGTTTCCTGTACTCTCCTGCAAGTGTGCACAGCCCTAAATCTGGATCTGATCTAAGTTTATCCAAGTAATCTAATATTCTATGTATGCTGTTCAAAAGTTGTGTTAATTGCGAACAAAGGCAAAGTACTTCTAATCTCATTACAGCAAAGTGCTGAAAGAGAGGAGAGGATGAAGGAGTGCTTTTGCCCAAGTCTCATGCATGCAGTGCTAAATCAGAGTTAAATGCATCCTTCCCCAAACTAGTAACCTCCAGATGTTTAGGCTACAACTCCCAGCATTCCTAATCAGTAGCCATCTTAGAAGCATAGGATAGTAGAGTTGGAAGGGGCCATGAAGGCCATCAAGTCCAACCCTCTGCTGTTGCAGGACACCATGTTACACCATTCCAGTCAGATGGCTGTCCAGGCAGTCTTGATCAGGCCGGGGTGGGTTGACAGCCAAAGCATCTGTAGAGCATCAAGTTTAGGTAAAACCATCTTTGCAAGCTGGCAAGAGGCCAAGATGGAAGTGCAAATAGACCACTCTAGAGTTGGAAAGTCACATAATCACAGAGAAGGCTTTCTTCCACATCCCTGCCAATCATGCTTCAGACATCAGACAGTCTCTCCAGTCATCCTCAATGAGTTGGGAATCTCATACAAGAGAAGTCTGCTACTATGCCATTATGATTTAAAATGTGATGGTCATTAGTTTGACTTTGGCCAAAACAAGCAAGCAAACAAACAAACAGGTAATAAGCCAGTGAAGCTGTTCCAAAAGGACAGTTATGTAGTCCTGTAAAATGTTTTAGTCAGAACTCTAGCTTCTGCATTCTGCACCAGTGGACTTTTCTGGCCATTTTCCAGCAGCAATAATCAAGGATTGAATTGTTATTATAGTCAGATCTAAGGCAGTCTTATGTCAATCCTCTGTTTGAAGGGTGCTAGAGGACCATCACCTTTCTGAAGGGAAGCTTTATTAGAAAGTTCTTCCTGACCCATTCCAGTTTAAAGATATAGAGTCATAAGAACCACTCCCCACCAACAATGATCACCTGGACAGCAGACTGAGAAGTTAAGCGCACATGTCACTTCATTACAGTCTCCTCTGCTATGGTGAGATTTACTGACCCCAGTAGGAATTCGTGCAGTTGGCACTCTAGGCAAAATTCCTGAGGCATTGGCTGCTAGCAGAACATCCAAGGGCTAAACTGATTCAGGGATATTCCAAAGCAAAGACAAATATTTATATATTTACAAAATGCATGACTATCTTGCAGAAGTATGTTGATAAATATCTAGCATTTATACCAATCTATTTATGCAGATTGTTCACACACTTGAGCAATTATTTCCCACTTCCTACACATATAATTTATTTAATATTTATGTATATATGAGTGTGCCTATAGCTGAATCTCTTAGGGTGATTTGCATAGTAAAGACAACAAGATTGCCTGAGTAACTTTCCAGACTATTTCATGTATCTGGAATGAAGATGGACATGTACCTCTGCAGAAGCATTTACCTGATGGTCTTGTTTCCATAGCAGCCAACATCCCCGATGCCAAGGTCATCAGCCAACAAGATGACAATGTTGGGCTTAGAGCTGACCAATGCTTGTAATTCTAGTGGCATTAGCAATAGATACAAAGAAAGAAGTAAACCTGGATATTGCCTACAAAAAGAAGGATGATTTAACCTTAGTAAGTAAGATCCCAGCAGGGTCTCACTTTTAAGCAGTATGAAATCAGAGAAGTCAGCAATGTTTCAGAGTCATATGAACAATGCCCTCAGACTAGAAAGTTGGGCAGATTTGCAGGGCCCCACTCAGAGGAATGGTCAGGAAGGCTCAACAGCAACCAGTTTGTAGTGAAGATATAAGCAGGGAAATTCCTGTCTGGAAGGAATTAAGCACAAGTACACAGAAAGGAAAAGATAACAGTCTTTGCAAATATGCAAGAGACAATGTGATTACCAAATTACAGGGAGGAGCTAGATGAAAAGGCAGAATAATAAATTCCAATTCTACCCAATATAATGGAACAATGGCAATTAATTAAGAACACATTTACTTACTCATCAGAGTAGCCCTCCTCCATGAGAGAGACCAAGACATCAAAAATAGTAAAAAGCTTATTTCCAACATAGAAATCATCTTACTGTTCACCAGCTGCACCAAAGTATTGCCAATAATTGGACAACTGTTAGAGTCAGCATCACTGGATGAGTGATAAGGCAGGTGGAGGCCTGATTGCTTTTTAACTGCTTTTTTCGAATGGGTTTCTTGTCCCCTTTCAGTAGGATATACACAGAGGCTGCCCGTGCTCTCACTTAAGAATTCAGGAAGTATAGTTCCTATTTGCTCTCTTCCCACCTAAACTTGGAAATTGATGACACACAACCTGCAGTTAAAGAATCAGTATCTGTTCTGCCTTACATGTAATCAAAATATTGTTTGTATTCTAAGTGTGTCCTGGCTTGAATTAATATCAGTGACAATGAAGGAGGACACTCACTTGGAGCATACACATGTCATGCTCTTCTGCCTCTCAAGGAAGTTTTGGGTTGAGACCAGTATTACACAAGAGTCCTAACCCAGGCACAGTTCCAGTGATGGCACCACACAACTGTTACGCACTGTGTGCCTGATGCACTCAGGTATAGCGGAGGATGCCATTCCATAATCAGCATGGAAAAAAAGATCCAGGTGCTATTCAGTAGGCTGCTAGACCTGGAATGGAAGCAGGCCCTTTCTTGTTCTTAGCCTAAGCTGGCCGGCACCATGTCTTTGGCCAGCCCTGGGGCCTATCACATGACAGACCAGGTGCTGGGGAACATGGCAGGTAAACAATGTCGTGCCAAGGGCTGGCCTACGAGTGCGCCAAATCTTTTGTTTGGATCTCTCATCTTTCATCTCGTGATCTTCCTGCATTTTCATCTTTGTGCCTGATGGAATGCTCTCTTCTCTATTCATTTATCCCTTTTTACAAATAGGGGTGTCCTTAGGAGACAAGCTCCTTCAAAGACATGTGCGCACACACATGCACATGGACTTTGAATCATATTCAAATTTTTGCCTCCCCTTCACCAGACCATGGGTCTTTTTTCAACCTGTGGCAGTGCTCCTGCCCTCATGCCACGCTTGTAGAGTTTCCTGTGGTCGTGCCAATTTGAACAGAAAGCTGGACTATGCCGCTCTGATCTAGCAGAGCTGTTACGTGTTCATGACTGCCAGTGTTGCCTAGCAGTGGTGGTCCAACAGTCAATGGGAGATTGAGCCTTACTTGCCCTCTGACATCTGCACCCTTGCAGCTGCCCCTTCCTCTGCAGTTTCATTACAGCTGTCCTTCTGTAGCGCTGCCTGCCTCCTCCTTTGGCTCAGCTTCCTGATCCATTGGAAGGCGGAAATCATGCCAGCTACACAAGTCAAAGCATCCACACCCCTAGTGGTGGTGATGCTGTGGCCACTGTTGCTGCTGTTAGAAAGTGTCAGAGTACTGGGATGGGTGGAGCGGATTAAGACACCCTTTGGGGTGAAGAAAGGTAAAAGAGATAAAGAGGAAAAAAAGGGGAAAAGAAGAAACTGTAAGACCTCCACACAGCCTCTTCCAACATAAGAGGAAGGGGATATGCATACATATGTTTGCATATATGTTTGTGTGCATGTGCATAAATGTAGGAGAACAAAGGGATCAATGAAAGAAAATACACAGTGCAATGCATGTTTAGACAGAAAAAAGTCCTATACCTTCCATGTTTTGGTCCAGCATTTTTTCTCCAACTGAAATATGCATAGGATTATACATCCTAATCTTTTAAAATGCAGGTGAACAACAGAGTGGAGGTGTGGAGCTGCATATATACATACAGAAATGACATCAGACATACCATACTGCACATTTCCTGGTTAAACATCCAGTAGCACATGACTTTATTCTATAAGAGTTTACCCTTCATCATTCCTTCCCCTCATTAAATATCCAGCAGCTTATCATATGCCCCAGAAGTGTATGGAAAGTCCCAATCTTCATATTAAATGTCAAGTCAATGCAACAGTTTAGAGTTTGCTGCCTGTCGAGTTGTCAAGGAGCGTTGGAAGGGAAAACCTAGCATGCATGCCTTCAGACAGCTCCAGTGAAAAATGCCAACACGGGGGTATTGTTTTTGTGTTACTCAGAGGCAGCAATCCT